CGTTCTTCAGAGTGCTGTGGGGGAGGGGGGCGGAGGGGGAGGAGGAGGTGGTGGCGGGGGAGGTGGAGGTGGGGGATGTGGGTGTGGTGTTGGTTGAGGGGATGATGGGGGCCTCGATGTCTGTGATGGTGGAGGGTAGTTAGAGGAAGGCGGGCGACGTGGTTGTGCCTGAAGCCTGCGCCCCCTGTTGGTCAAAGTGGATGGAGACAGAGGAGGCTTCCTGGCACCCGGGGAAGAAGGAGCTCGGGGCTGGGGAGATACTTGGGGTATAGGAGGGGAGTAGTTGGGAATCGTAGGGTTTAGTTTGGGTGAAGGTGGGGGGCGAGGCAAGGGGGGTGGTGGTTGGTGTTTGGTGGGCTGAGTCGGGACTAGTTTTTTAAGAGGTCCCCTCAGGCTCTGATCCACGTCATCCAGATTTATGTCGTCCAAATCAGTGGTTGCCAGGTTTAAACCACCGGGGAAATGTTTCACCCTCGGCTCAGAGGCAGGAGAGTGTGGCTGGGAAAGCTTTAAGCCGCAAACACATAAAAAACATGTATGTAGGCAACAAAATACAACTGATCAGAACATTGGGGAAGGTCTCACTGAAGACTTGGTACCTCTGGGGATTCATTCTCCACACAAGAGATCTGCTCCAACCGAGTCTGACACAGGCGCTCCACCCAGTGCTGTACTTTCTCAGACTCCTCCAGGTCTTCCCTTTCTGTCTCTGAAACCTGGGGTTGAGTTACAACCAGCCCCCATCATAAACAACAGAAAACTCTTCACACAAATAGGCGTGTATGATATGAGCATCACATGCTGCAAAGTAAAACTGCAAGCCCTAAGAGAAATTTAAATAAACTACATATTTGGTTTGACTTTAAAACACTTGAAAATTACTGTTTGGAACAGAGAAGTAGTTCAATTGTTTGCTTGTATTTGTTTCAAATGGCTGAATTGCACCAAACAATGTCCTTCAATGTAAAAGAACAGCCTTTAAGATCTCATTGTAGCTTTGGGATCCAACACACTGTAAGGAGTAGTAGGTAAGTAGGGAAGAATAATATTAAGGTCTTTACATTCGAGCTCTGCTCTTTGCTCCACTTGACAAACCAGAAAAGCTTCCACAGCTTAGAACTAATCAAACTAACACTCATCTTATGACTAACGTATCACTTGTAACTAAGACACTAAGATACTTGAACTTTTCTACCTAAAGCAGATGCTGATCTCTGTTTGAATTAAGCACTTCACTATTATTTCAGATCAGAACAATAGCTTCAGATCGACAGTTGGCTGTAATCCCAGCCACTTTAATTCAATTCAGTTTACAAAAGGCATTATTGATCCAAAGGGAAATAAACAAAATGTATCAAATAACATCATATATATTAATAATCGGTCATTTATATAGAACTGAAACTCAAACTAATGTACGGCACCGGGCAGAATACATCTCCTCGTACCTCCTGTACCAGCCGATTGATCTTTAATTGCTTCTCTCGTTCATGCATCTCTTCTTTCTCTTTAGCAAGTTTCAGCTCAAACTCCATCTCCTTCTTGTTCTTCCTCTGCTCCTGCAGTGTGTCTGTATTGGACATTTTCTTTTTCTTCTTCTTCTTTTCTCCTTTCTGAGGGATCACCAGTTGGGAAGAGCAAAATGCAAAGAACACGCAAACTAGGATACCAATAATAGTCACTAACAAAATAAAAATTAAGAAAGCAATCCTAAAATTTCCAGCATTCAATCTATAGGTAAACTTCTTAGATCCACTTCACACAACACAAAGAGCTGACAGTACCTTACGCAGTGAAGGCAGCTTCCCCTCATATCGATAAAACCAGCCAAATGCTAAAGTTGGAGATGAACACAAGTAACTTGAAAAAAAAAATCAAACCACAACTTAACTTCACAACCAAGCAAACTACATCAATTCAATCATGGCTAATTTTGTGCTAACCTTCACACAACACAGCACTCAGAGAGACCAAATCTAGTTGGGAAGCAGCTAGACATTTTTAATAAAAGACACAAACAGGGTTTTAAATAATGCTAATGCAGCATTAAAGATAAGAGATGGAATAATTAGTTTGCAGAAAAGCATGGAAATAAGTTTATGGATTGAATTCAGCAGATACTACTCTTTTCAACCAGTGAAGGTAAAACACATGAACACCAAAATGTTCTGTTTATAACATTCCTCACACTCACACCTCTTTGGGGTGACACACATTTTACCATTCAACATACCTAAAGTAATTGGTTCCAGAATTATTTAGTCATATTTACTTGATGTAACACAATATGTATTTTATGTATGATGCAAAGGAACCTTGAGTTCATTTGAAAGACCATCCTTGTAAGGCGGCCTGAAGAATTTTAGTTTACTTAGCAATGCACTGCAAAAACGTAATAAATAAATCATTTGAGTAGGTAAATAAAATGATTTGTGAATGGAATGAGTATTTTTACTCTTAAAATTGGATAATTAGATAATATGCACTTGAAATAAGACAATGCAAGTGTGTTTTTCTATTGGCAAATTGTCTCACTTACCTCCTCAATTCAAGAACAAATGCACTTATTTTAAGAAAAAATGACTTACATAGATTTCAGTTTTTTGCAGTGTGCTTACGAAAACTGGTCCTTGCTAAGATTACTTCCTTTAATTGCATTTGACCGATTTTCCAGAGAACGAGCAAGCATAGCAGATAATTCTACATCTAAAAGTGACAGTGGAGGTTGTTGTTGCCAAAGTCTACAAAGATGAAATCATAAGTTGAGGCAAAGGTCCATGATCAGACAGCTCTGTCTTTGTAGTGGTTTTTTTGATCATGTGACTTGTATGCATGTCTGTTAACAAAAATACAAGACTTCATAAAACCAATTCATTTGTCTTTGGGATATTTAAATGTTATGAGTTAGCTGAACATAACTTAATTCCATGCAGGTAAAAATATAGATCAACAGAATTTGATTCTGTTAAGTTGAACCAACCAAACATATTCACATTTGATGAATGTATTCATTTCCTTTTAAGTATATAAAAAAAAAAACTTTTTGCTCTAACTTACTGTTAACCAAGGTTTAATATCTGTATCAAATATACTTCGTGAAAGAATATAAATTATCTTTATAAAATAAAGTATACTCATGCTCAAGTAAATACGTTATACTTTTAAAGTATAATAATAAAATAGTATAATATAATATAATTAATAATAAACGTATTTACTTGAGCTATAACGATATTGTAAAATAAGCTAAGATTAATCATTTTATTTCTATTTTAGATTTATCCAGAAACTAATAGAAAATAATTTTTATTTGTGGTTTGTATAAATATGAATCAGCTAAAATTGGTGTTGGCAGGTCAAAGTGTCTCAAAATCTTTAATCGGAAATCAGACATCATAGCTCAGATCTGTGCATCTCTGATTATCTGTTCTTTTACTTTCAGCAGCATCTTCGACCTAAAACAATATTCAACTCTGCTCCCTACATTAAAGCTACAGTGTGTAATTTTCAGCGACATCTAGCGCTCAGACTGCAGACTGCAGCAACATGAACATCTCCCCCCCACCGCTTCTCCCCCCCAACTGTACGGCGAGCGTTACGGGACAAAATGTCTTCCACGACGTCCGCATCACCTACCTTCTCAAGTGATGAGGTTTGTTTACATAGATAATTTTACAGATAGTATTTCATTAGTCTGTGTAGGGTATAGATTTCATGTAGACTTAAGATAATAAATATACCCGTTATTTTTTTCTACATCGTTGTGACGTTTAGGTGAGCTGCTTTGCATGGTGATATAAACAGAAGAAGTAATTGTAGTCATTAGTTTAACAGCGAGATTGTGTTCGCTGGAAGAATATATATTCCCCGTTTACAGAGTCCAAGTCTTATTTGTGGCACTGGGGTTACAAGGCGAGGAAGAGGGAGAGGAAGAGGGCAGAGAGGCTGGGGTGGGCGTGAAGCCAGGGCCAGGCGAGAGAGAGGTGAAAGCGGGGTGACTAGAGGAGAGGAGGAAAGGCTTGAAGATCTCCAAAGGAGCCGGAGAGAAGTAACCGAGGTATATATCCGTAGCTCGCTAATATGCAGCTTCATATATCTGTCTCTCTCACACTCACACACGCCACTATCAGCTGTGGTAATTTTATGAAGCTGTGGCCTTATCTAGGTAAAGCTACCAGACATCTTGAGAATAGTTTGGTTGAAACGGGATGTGGGGGTGGGGTATTACGTGTATAAAAAGACAATTGTGTGTGTAGGATTAATTACCTGTCCAACAGAAAACTGGCGACTTGAGCGTCACTTTGAAAACCTTTTTCCTCCATCAGTGACTTCCATCGTGTAAATGCCGTGCCAATGTTGATCCGTGTTTTTTGTCACGCTTGCGTTTATTCTCGTCGTGTTTCCGCTTCTTAGATGATGGGGGTTCAGTGTCCGCCGCTTTTCGTTGTGATACAGAGTAGGCATGATCCTCCATTCGTCTGATGTTTGGCCACACAGTTTGCAAAGTCACTCACGCCTGCCGCCTTGTTTACCTTTCTTGTTACTGAAGCGCCGTATACCTGCTTCTTCTTCTTCTTTGGTTTCAGGCAGACTAAACGCTTTTCAGGCATAATACTGCCATCTACTGTTCAGTACCGTCTCAGTTAATCTCTCTCAACTTGCCGTAGTTACTTTCAAGCGTAATGGGCGATCTCGCAATCGCTAGTTTGTTGCCTCTGCGCTTGCCGTAGCGCAAAGATGTCAGCCTCCATGGCTGCGAGACCCGCTCCTATGTAATTATAAATAACGAATTCTAAGGCAACGCAAATATTATGGTTAAAAGGCTGAGCTCATAGGTGATGATAAATAACATAGTTATGTATAATATATTCAATTTCTGACTTTATATCCCTGTAATTATTACACACTGTAGCTTTAATGTTGTCAAAGGAAATCTAGGACATCTCTTTTGCATCAACTAGCATAGCTATCCTACAAGAAAGCTGAAACTGCCAACTCACTTCGCTGTCCTGCTCATCATCCTCATATTCGTCTGCGAAGGAGCTGGCTCCATAAACTAGGAAGAGATGCCGTAGAACACAGCACAGCAACCAGCAGAGACCAACACAAACATGCAAATACAGAGCATTTAGAGTGAAACAGAAACAAGTCATTTCAGTTTCACAAGAATTGGAGAGTTTGAAAGTACACAAAAATCTCTTTCATTTCAGGAAAAGAATTTGTGGTCATACGTGAACTCTTGGTCTTTGCATTTGGGCTGGTTTTCATCTCAGGGCTTTTTGGGGAGCGGGGACTCTTTGATCTGTCTCTGGATCCCCAGTCCTCCTCCCATTCTCTATCATGTTTCCTTTCTGCAGCTTCAATACTAAAAAAACAATTATTTATTAACTTCCAAGACTGAAAACAGAACAAAAGACCAACAAAAAGGGATAATTATATACTTTTCCATCTCATTCCTATAGCGCTCCTCTTCCTCATCTACTTTATGGGAGATCTCCAGCTTTCTCCTAAGAAAAGAATCAGAAGCTTGAACATTATTCTTCATTCAGAAATCATGAGAATAAATACAAGACATATGATGCTGATTTTACTGCAGCTTTAAGGAGAGAAATAGCCAATTGGTGCTTTTGACAGAAAACCACTAAATCAACTAACTTAGTAACTTAAAAAACCTGAGGTTCTATATTTTTGATGCAAAGAAACCATTGTTAAAAGCATGCTGCAGAAGCAATTACTCATTTTACTAGGGCTGAAACAATTCATCAGATTAATTGATGATTTATATAATTTAGTAATAGATTAATCGTTAACTGGAATATAGAGACTGTAAAACATGCCTTTAGCTGACAGAGCAACCAAATTAGAGCAGTGATTATACCAAGATAGGAAAAAAAAATATAAAAACAATTACATTTTACATTTAAGATAAAAAAAATATATATAGTGTCTGTCAATATGCTCTATCCAGAACTTCACACGTGGAATTTCACCTGGTTTAATTTCGTAAAATAATTGTAGTTAAGGAACCTTTGGCTATCTGTTTACTAATTCATTAATAAAAAAAATTATCAACAAATTACTCGATTTGCAAAATAATTGTTTTACACTTGTAAGACAGAAAAAAGGGGAGGAAAGCCTATTTTGAAGCAGAATGCAGATGTAGGTACTACAGAATTTAAATGTCCTAAGTCCTACAGTGAATGTTTTAAAGTTTTAAGAGAAGATCAGAAAAGTTGGACACACAGGTTAAAGGACTACATTTATATGGGTAAACTGTGTGTCCTGGCTTTGACACCACAGAGCATATCTCATTATCAATGTGAGGCTAATTAAAGTTTGTGCACTCACTGTCTCTCCTTCTCCTGCTGTTCTTTAATGATTTTGTTGGTCTCCAATGCAACCTTCTTCTGATGCATCAGCTCCTGCCTGTCTAACTCCCGGCGGGTCTTGGCTGCAAGGCGCTCCTCGTCTGTCATAAACAGCTCCCTTCCCTAAGAGAAGGAAAACCAGCCTTAGACAAAAATCTAAGAATAGAGTTTATATACAGCCTTTGTATTCAAACCAGGCTTCAGTCAGCTAGACGAGTCTGTAATTCAAAAATGAGAGTGCTGCATGAATTTAATCTTTTCATCATTTAGAGTTTAAAATTTGTAGGAACTTCAACGATCCTGTAAGGTCCTAAGGAGCTTCTGTCGTTCTATGTTTTAACTTTTGAGTTATTATGATACCTCTATATACTTTTGGGCTTTATGATTAATCATTTTGAAAAACCATCCTGATTATGTCGTATTTGTTTGTTTTGGAACTTTTTAAACTAAAGAGAGCTCAACAATTAATTCTTCAATGCTTTGTTTTAAGTCTTTTGTCCCTAAGGTCAGTCAATAAATATGTCTGGTGGTCTTGCATTGTCAAACATGATCAAATCATCTCATCTTTACCAAACTTTAAAAGTATTTATAACTAGAATCAAGAACAAAAAACACACAAAAATGTATAAGCCATCCTGATTGTACATATGTCACCTCAAATCTCTGTGTTACTCCCTTGTATTTTTTTTTATTTCTTATTTTATCTATTTTTATTTTATTTTTATTCCTAATGTACCTTTTCCTCCTTTTTTGCACTTTCTTTAAGTACTATGCCAATATGTGACCAGTGAATTTCTCCGCTGTGAGATCAATAAAGCTCATCTAATCTAATCTAATCTAAATTCATAAACTCCATTATTTATTAGAAAAATATGAAGCCAAAATGAAAACTGCAAAACTCCATTTAGCAGCTGAAACTTAAAGAGGTCTTTTCCCCTAAAAAATTCTCAGTTTTATTTTATTTTTTTACCTTTTTAAAACAACACGTGTAGTATGTCCCACATATGAATAATTCTTCACTGTCGAATGATGGACTTAAATCTTTATGACAATTCACTGATAAAGGTTTAAATCAGTGGCGGCTGGCCAATAGAGGGCACTAGGGCGCCGCCTCACCCACCCAATGACCTTGATGAAGGCATAAAAATACAAATAAAAATGAAATTATAAAATTAGAATATTTAGACATATATTAACATATTTTTAGATGTGCAAGATAAATATTTAAACGGTACGAACAGCGATGAAAAGAATGACTATATCAAGTAGTGGAGTGAAGTTATGGAATAGTCTACAGCCGTGTTTAAAGCAGAGTGTGAACATAAATTTGTTTAAGAGAAGGTACAAAAAATTACTTTTGGATAAATATGTAGAAGAGGAAAGATAAAAAAAACAGGTAGATTCATATGGAAGAGTGAATGTAACTAGTTAAATGAGCAACTTAGGTCTCTTGATTCATTAGGGATGGGAAACTTAAAAGTTTATACTTCGTCCCATTCCTTTTTGAACAATTTATTATGGTTTATGTATTCATTGTGTTGTGTTGTATTTACACATCTTATATTGTTTTGTTGTTCGAATAAACTGAACTGAACTGAACTAATGATGAGTAAAACTATTTGTTCGTTGTCGGATTGGTGACATATTTCTGTGCCTGGGCGTAAAAATGTTTGCTCATAGACTCTCACTAAAAGTTGTGCATATGCAGTAGCTCCTCTTCAATGCAAAAGATAGAACCATCGTGGGGCGTAGCTCTCCTGCCCCCAGAGCAGAATGTAAATTTACTTGCACACCACCTCTCGCCACAGCACTGACGTCACAGTCGTCTGTTATAAAGTGCGGCTGATTGTTTATATAATTATTTATCAAAAAAGCTTGGCTAATTGCCAATGGTTTAAACATATTGCATTTGGGACTAGGGCTGGACAATTAATTGCATTTGCAAATTATTGCAATTCAGCATTATGCAACTGACAAGCCGAGTAGATACTCAATTTTGGTCACATTACATTTACTGAGAGTAAGACACTAAATTTCTCCCTCCAGTCTTATAGGTCCTGGTAATACACAAAGTGGGTTTGCTGCTATACAGATGGAAAGAAAGCTAGCAGCAAGCATGCAGATACATGCATGATAATACAAGTTGGAACTTTTTCATGCAAAGGTTGCAATAAAGTCCTGCAACAATAAACTGTGGACAAGCAAGCTTTCAAGGTGAAGAAAAAACTGAAACCCTGGAGTGAAATATCTACCTGTTTTTGCTTAGTGTAAAGTAAAATCACAATATAATCGCTATCACAAAACTGGATGAAAATAATCGCAATTTTGATTTTTGGCTAAAATCCTTGAGCCCTCTTTGGAGCATTGGTGATGTAGCACTGTCTCAATTTGTGTTTAAACACACCTGTCCTCTATAAAACAGAAAACTAAGATTTTCCTTATTTCATAGAAAGGGTCAAACAATTTCTATGAAATATTGAATCATATGGAATGAACCAGGGTATGCATCTTTGCACATATTCTTTTTTTTTTTTTTTAGGCCTCATCTTTGCTATATAAATAACTGAAAAAAATGCTACATATTGTAGTTCAATTGAGTTCATATTTGAATCCTTCTAGCACCTTCTAGCATAAGACTGGAACCTTTTTATTGTATCATCTTTGGAAAGTATCTAAATGGGATTCACATTTCTTAGTAACCATTTATTCTTCCTACTTCATATAATTATTGCTGCAGGATACTGTATTTAGACATAAAGTACAAATTTTCAGGCACAAAGTGTGACACATAAGCAGATGCATCTGATTTCAGAACATAGCCCCCACTTTCGATAAGCACTGATGGAGGATGCCACATCAAAAACCAAGACAAATTCACAAATGAATGCATCAGACAGGCACCAAGGAAGAGAATAATAAGACATGACTGCTCGTCTCACTTCCACAGTCCTCATCACCGACTCCCTGAGCAAACAATCTGTCAAGTGCCTTTAGCGAGGATAAATGTTGCTCCTGCAGACATTTTTCTGAGCTGTATGTTAGGAGAATGTGATACATTCAAAACAAGGATGTCAGTTATTCAGAGGGATGCGTAAAGAAGAAGGAAAAATGTTTGTGGTCTCTAAACCGTAATAGATGAGCCTTAAAGTGAAATATAGTGGGATTTCAACAATGTAGGATTTAATCCCATTTCTAGGATTTACACTCAAAAAATAAAGAAAAATACAACAGTACTGGCTGTTAAACAGCATTGGGTTTTACTGTTATCACAGTTTTGAATTGAATTAAACCAATAACACAGATTTATTTTCTAATTAATGAAATGTATATCAAATTGAAGATAACCCCAGAGGCTTTGTGAATCCCTTTAAAGCTACAATCTGTAATTTTCAGAGACATCTAATGGTCAGACTTTAGATTGCAACAACCCCCCACCATTCCTGCATAATGGTGATCTGTATAATCTATCAATAGTTTCTCATCTCTACACCAACACAGCGCAAAAGATATCTGCCTCCACAAATGTGAACTGGCTCCTCTGTAAATATAAGTAGCACTTTCTAAGGCAAGGCAAACTTGCTTTCAGTTCATAGAAGATAATAAATAACATACATATAAACAATAACATTTATGTCAGTAAATCTGTGTAATTATTACACACTGTACCTTTAAATTATTACTTAAAATCGGAAAACTATTTGTTACTCTTCCATCTGACTGAATTCTTTTATTGTAAGAGTTTAACAGTAAGGCAAGCTCCACAAGAAATAAATATAGGCCAACACAAATTATACTTACAGCTCCTGTCAGAACTGTGATTGTCAGACTTCTGCTGCTCTTCAGGGCTTTCACAGCCTTAAAAATAGGATTAAAAAGAAACATAAATTTCAGCATTCAAATCATCATCTGTCAATGCCTAGAGGTAAATGCATTGTGTACTTGTCAGTATCCCAACTTTCCTTTGAATACTAAATAAAAGACAGATGTGAACAAATTCACCTCTTTGTGGTCCACAGTGGTGAAATCCACTCCATTCACTTCCACAATCTGGTCTCCAACCTACAGCAGACACAAGTCACATCAATTTACACGAGAATAAACACTTTGTAACGTTTTAGATATTGACTAGTTGTTTAATAATGTGTATTAAGAAGATATTAAGTTTTAGCCAATGCAAGAAATATTTAACTTACTTCATCAAATGACCCTATTTTTCAATGATTTGAGCTCATAGTTAATGACTGTAATAAACGACAAAGGTTTATTAAAATGTCTAACCCCAATAAAAAAATAAAATAAATTTTAAACCAAACATGATTTTGTGCAAATGTATATTAGACCTTTTTAATTAGTAAACCAGTTTGTTTCCCTTTTTCTCAGTTTGTCACTATCATGTTTATATATACTTCTTTAAAGGCTTAGTTTGCAGTTACATGCAGAATAACACAAAGTGTTCTACAAATAAGGTTGGTATGATTACAAAAATCTAAAGAAATTAAAAAACTTGATTTTTTTATGGTAACATGCATCCTTTGAAACACAGCGATAAAGACTCTTAGTATGAAAATCATACTTTGTGACATTGGCAGTAAACTTACAAAAAGAGATTTAAAGTAATGATTTTATGGGTCATCCACTAATAATTAATAATTCATACTCCTTCATTGGAGTATCAACAAAGTTCTAATTGGAATGAATTTAACATCTATAGAAATCCAATCATTTGGTAATATGCACAATAAGAGACAATTAGTGATTGCCTTATTGATCCTCCTCAATCCAGGACATCAAAGTATCTTGTGTTGCCAATTGCCAAATTACCTCAAGTCCAACTTCTGCAGCGAGGGAGCCTGGCTTCACGTTGCTGATGTAGATACCAGGTTTCTGGGTTGGACCGCTTGAGATGCTTATGCCCATACCCTTGGTACCCACGAGACTAAGAAAAACCTTCTTCTCCTTGATCTCCTTTCCACCAATAGACATCAAGCCAGCCAAGCTGCTTCTCTTCTCCTGAACCGAAACAGACAAAACAACTGAATAAAAACCAAAATTCTTTGAGCTGGTTAAAGACATAAAAAATAATAAGTCTGTTACCCCGGACTCGGACACAAACTGGTCCACAAACTGCCACTTGAGGGGTTCATCAGAAGAGCTGGAGCGAACAAAATCACATAAGCAGGGGAATTGTTCGTGGACATTAATCTCATGCAGGATGAAGAAAAGAACAAATGAATCTTACCTTTTTACAGGGATCATTCCCACATCTACATAAAAAGACACATGCAGAACAAATTATAAAAATGACAGGAGTATTTATTCCTTCTTGCATTAATGTCAAGAAAGGCATTTCAACATACGGCGAACTTTGAGTGATACAATCTTCTTGATCTTGATGAGGCTGATGACCTCCTCATGGATGCAGGAGGAGATGGAGTAGCCATTGATTCGCACAATCTCATCACCCACCTATTAATCAGCATAGAAGCAAATATTAAATATGACACTTTCATTTCAATACAACTACGAAGGCCTTACCGCTAATGAAAACATTTACATTCCTCTTTGCTCAACACAACATGAGCTATTGAATTGTGCAATCTATTACAATTTCTTGGTTTGTCCCTGAGGTTACACTTTTCATCAGTAAAAGTTTGCTGTTGTTTTACAGCATAGTGTCTGTGAAGAGGAAAACCATAAAAATGTCAATCTCCTTAAAAAAAGCACCACTCTTAAAGTCCTACACAAACAGATACAATTTCTGGTACCCCTCATTTAATGAAAAAAATAAATAATGATCAGAGATAATGTGGATCTCACATAAGTAATACATTATATAATAATATAGTTATTAATATATATATATATATATATATATATATATATACGTTAAGACAAGCCCCCATAAATATGTTACAACAAGCCCCCATAAATATGTTACGTCCACCAAGGGCACAACATATTTGAGGACACGAGACAAAAGTGAGGGTTCAAAAAAGATATTTTATTTATAAATTTTCTCCTCTTTAGCTTTCTTTGCTCGGCTTCTTCTGATTACTGCGAAGAAAAAAGTTAGAGGCCCTCAGATCCCGTGCCCCAAAGGAATCAAAAAATGAAACCCAAAAGTAACAAAAGAAAGTTGGACCTGGCAGGCCGATCAAACAGAACAAATCGGTACAGCAGGGGGCCAACCCTATACAGGGCCGTCGAAGCCCCTACTGGTACCGGACTAAAAGCCAAAAATAACCTAAGCAAAAGAAAAATCGAAAATAGGACAACTGGTCCCGCCAGGCCAAAAACCACAAGAAAAAAGTAAGCAACGGCTAACAAAAATACCGCATGGCAGGTTGGAACGTCCGCTGCAGGCCGCAGCGACAAGACAAGTGCGCACCGCGCACGGTGGAACAAGTGGAAGCAGGTGGAAAAGCGGCGTCCAAGCGAAGTTGGAAAGGAACGCCCAACATGCTGAAAGCCAGCCTATTTATAGGCGGACAACAGCACCACAAATTAACAAATTAGCAGAAGAAGGCAGTAGTGATAGATGTGGCAATCCCAAGCGACAGCAACATCAAGAAGAAAGAACACGAGAAGCTTGAGAAATACCAAGGACTGAAGGAGGAGCTAGAAAAGATGTGGAAAGTAAGAGCAGCAGTGGTGCCAGTGGTAATTGGAGCACTGGGGGCTGTGACCCCCAAACTGGGAGAGTGGCTACAGCAGATTCCAGGTAAAACATCAGAGGTCTCTGTCCAGAAGAGCGCAGTCCTAGGAACAGCTAAGATACTGCGCAGAACCCTCAAACTCCCAGGCCTCTGGTAGAGGACCCGAGCTTGAGGATGACACATACCACCCCACGAGGGGTGAGAAAACAGTTTTTTTTTATATAAATAAAATATATACTATATATTATATTATATTTACATAAATATTGCCTTGTAAATATGTAGTTTGGTAGATTTGGTAGTCTGGCTTTTTTATCATGTTTTCAACAATGGATTCCTCAAACAACGATGTCTGGTTCATCTGACAGTGATGTTCCTTGAGCTTGAAGTTCTCCTGTAATCTCTTCAGATGTTTTTGTGTTTTTTTTCTGGGCTCTTTTGTCGCCAGTCATATCATCTATCAATTTCATTTGTCATCAATTTTCCTCCTGTGGCCAAATCCAGAGAGGCTGGCTACAGTTGCATGAATCTTACATTTCTCAATGTTATGTGCAGCTGTAGTCACAGGAACTTCAAACTGCTTGGAGATGATCTTATAGCCTGTCTATAATTTTCTCTCTAATCTCCTGAGACAACTTTTCCTTTCGCTTCATCTGGTCCATGCTGAATGTGGTATTCACCATGTCACCAAACAGCACAGTGACTACCTGTAGTCCTATACACTATATAGGCGCACTGACTAATTAAAAGATTATAGACACCTGTGATACTAATTACTGGACACACCTTGATATGTCATATACCTTTGGTCAGATTGTCTTTTCTGGGGGCACCATCATTTCTAAATATGATTAAGTATAGATTAAATGTATCTGAGCTACTACAACTCAATGTCGTTCTGACTGCAGGACCATTTGGGAATTCAATATCACACTATTTATTAAGTGTTACATTTAACAACACAGCTGCAATATGTATGACTCATAGTCTGTTTCTTTGTAATATTGCATGGCAGACAAGGATCAAAAATCTTCACTATGAAGCTTATATCAACATAGTGTTACATCAGTGACACAATGCTTTATTAACCATGAGCATACAGACAAAAATCAGTTCTGATCTGTTCTAAAACTCAAATCAAAATGGATTTTCTTGAATTTTGAGTCTCAGCTGAGCATAAAAAAGGTCTGTAAGACTTTAATAAAAGTGAATTTCACTCCACCTAGTGGGGGCTTCAAATAACATTTTTTGCCAAAAACAAATACAAAACAAAAGACAAGTTAAATAAATAATTTCGTATCTAACACAGGAGACCTCTTATTTTTAATTTGTGTGTATCTGAATCTCAGCATAAATACAGATTTTTTGTGATGGCCAGTGAGCCAAATAAAATAAAAAGGTTGAGGCAAACAGTATGAGGCAAAGATCGAATACAGATATTCACATATGCTCTTCAACTCACCTCATTAACCTTTGATATGAAGAATTGGGAAAAATTTCCCATCTGCATACTGGATAAGTGTAAAATGTTTACTCAAAATATTTAAAAATCTCTTCTTTTTTTTAATGTCCAGAAACAAGAATAAAATCCATGTTTTTATATTATATTCGCATACCTGAAGGCCGACATTATAAGCTTGTCCATCTTTGACAATCTGTGAAATATAGAGCCCGCAGCCAAACTCTAGTCCCCCTCTAACACTGAGACCCAGTCCGTCTCGGTGTGTTCGATCCAAACGGACCTCTTTAAGCTTCCTGAAAGCATCAAAGATTAACCAAGTCTGTAACAACTTACACAATTACAATGCATCTGTGATTGCCTATCCAGGAAAACAGCTAATGCTATGCTGTACTCACCGCGACCTCTTGGGCGTGAGCTGGTCATACTCCACTTGGTGTTTGAGCGGGATCAGAGGTCGGATAGTGTCGAAGAGCAGCAGTCGTTTTGGTTCATTGATAACCAATTTCAGGTCTCCAACCAGCACTGGCAAATCCATGGACCTTAAAGAAAGACATCAGGTTAGACTAGTCAAAGCTGTGTTGTACTTTGCCTTCATTATGATAGAGTAAGTCTGCTTATACATATAAAATTTTAAAATATAGCAATGTTTAGATTAGTAAGTTTTTTGGATAATTAACAACTTCCTATGCAAGCCACTGCAAATTAAACACTGGATAAATTGGTCATTATCAGTGTGTCTACCTCTATTAAAGCAGTACTTTTAATTGTTTGCTGATTTAGGGAATACAGGTATGCATGTTCACACGCAGGTAAAAAAAAATATCTTAGAGGAGCTCTCTAGCTAGATCATCTGAGAAAGGTTATATGACCATTTCTAACTAAATTTAAGGTCACCATTGCACAGTGAGAAAGATTAATTACAAGAAAAGATTGGTTCCAGATTTTCAATGAGTAGATGTTACTGAAAATTCACACTCAAGCTGTGCAATCCTGAGAGAAATTATATTTTATTAAGCTGCTTTACAGCTCCATCACTCACTTTAAAGGTCTCAGTCATCATTTAAAATGTGAGAGTTTAGTACAGGGCATTTATGAGATTACAAAAGTATGATTGCTTTTGAAATGGTTGCTAGGATAAAGCCTTTTCTCCAAGAAAGAACAGCACCATGGCTTTGGTTTATAAAGTTGTATCTCAATGCTGAAGATTTTCAGAGGGGTCTGGCTGCAGACCTGCACTTTTCAGGACCCTGGCTGCAGAGCTGCACTGTCAGGACCCAGAGCTGTACTTTCAGCACCCTGGCTGCACAGCTGCCCTGTGAGGTCTCCTGCACTGTTAGAACTGCAAGTTTATTCAAAGATTTTCAAAGTAAAAGCAAAGTTGATTCGAAGCCTTTCTAAATTCAAAGCTAGTGTCTATAAACTCCCCATGAAACTAGCTTTCTTTCACAAACAAGTGTTGTTATGCTGGAAACGTATGTACACTGACAAGTTTACTCCCCACCAAACTCCTATCTGGAATAATTGATACAGCAATACAGATATAGCTACATAGAAATAAGTCTCTGTATTTGGATCACTGGATGGAAAAGGCATTTGGTCTAAAATATATTTTCTATAGGACAATTGAGGTTGGCTGTCCTATGAGGATTTTTACTTACAATATAATTTAAACCATTGCTATGCTCAGTTTAACACTGTGATAAACTCTAATCTGGGAGCAAACACATGCTGCGCTAATCCCGAAGGCTTTGAATACAACTTCCGGAATAAACTTCCAGTCCTGACAGTGCAGGAGACCCCATTTTGCAGGTCTGCAACGAAGGGTCCTGACAGTGCAAGTCTGGGTCCTGACAGTGCAGGTCTGGGTCCTGACAGTGCAAGTCTGCAGCCAGACTCTCTTGAAGTTTTCTGCCACAATGTACAGTAGTCAGATAAAATTTAAGATCAAATGTTTGGTTAGATGCAGAGCATTGTGAGGGAGGTAGTCAAGAAACTGTATTTAAACACAAACAGATCACACCAGCTGTTAATAGTGGTAAATAATGTAGTTTATTGTGTCGCCACAAGGCCTGCAACATTTGGAAACCTCCTCAGCATTGCCATTTCATTTCCACAATTGGAAACTGCAAAACTTTTCTTAAGTTTCTCATTTTATTTTTTATTTTCCCCAAACAGGATGTATTATTACTTTACCATTCTTGTCTCACTTCCAGTTTGAGACATGAAAACCAAACTGCCGCATGGACCTTATCTACCTTGCCGTGAGACAAAGTTAACCAAGGACTGTGAGCAGTATGTGCAGCAATAATACTTTACTGCTCTTCTTTATCGGATCCTATTGTAAAGGAAGAAAATATTCTAACATAGTTAACTTTGGAAAAAGGTTGGCTTTTCATTTTCTTCCCTCTCCAGGTCCACCCGGCGAGCTGCGTTTGGTAATATGAAAATCAGCAAGGCGTGTTGACATCACAGAATTACAGAGTTTAATCCAATATAAGACAATGCATAAACTTAGAAATAAGACAATGCACAAACCTACACCAGAAACTGCAGAACAACAGAGACATACATTCAGTTACCTGAGGTAAAGAAAAATAGAAAAAAAAAGAGAGGCAAAGACGCGTCTTTGGAGAGAGCTGGTGCAAAAGCAAAAAAGTGGCAGCTATCTGAATTTTTGCCCCTGTGCACAAAATTTTATAATGTAGATAAGTCCTTCCCTTTAGTATAAGGTCGTCCAGCTTGACCAATTGGAAGCTACTTTGGACACTCAGAAAAACTAATTTACGGCCGGGCCCCCCACTAGATTCTAAGGTCATCTGGCTGTCATGAGATAAAGTTTAACAGAATCGATGTGGAATGTTGAGGGCCCCTTTCCTGCCATAAATCTCAAGAACAAACTTAAATTCAGTATTTTGGTTCAGGGAAAGGTTATCTTCACAGCTCAATCTTGCTCTTTTGCACCATTCCACCCCAAAAGATTGAATCCTGCCTTAAACCACATAGAATCAACAGAACATGAGATACAATTCCCTTTTCTCACATATAAAACATAATATTCAATCTAACATATTCAATTACCCCATTAAACATATATCCTGAGCAATTTTCTAATAGTAAACAAAACATTTTCATTCAAACAATTTCAATTGGATTCTGATATTCACACAGATAGTACAACTTTCAATTAAAACATGATATTAATACTTAAAAAAATGTCTTAAAAACTAAATGTTAGTGTTTTAACATTCTACTTTTTATTCAGTATCACAGCATCTCAGATGTTTATTCTGGAAGACCTTTGATCTTCTGTAAACCAAGGAGACCTCTCCCCTGAGGCTCAACTGTTATTCACCCCCCAGGAGATACTCATTTTAAGGCCTCCTGTGCTTTGAATACTTACCCATTAGTAGTTTTAAATCATTAACACAGCCTTGTTCAAAATTCAGACATATGTTCAAGTGAGAGTGTTTACACATGCCATAAGATTAACTGTAATAAAGTCTAAAAATAATCATTTTTCTTTAACACTATCCAATAACAAATACAGATAATTTTAGTGGTGACACAGGGCCCGCTTAAGGGCTGCAGGCCGGGGCTACTGGACAAAGCGATGAGGAGCTGGAATTATATTCTGTCTGACTACCACAAGCCTAAGATCCAGAAAATGGACATGGGGTGGGAAAATCTGTCTAGCTTTAAAAAAATCCATTTAATAAAATATAAAAAGGGAGAAACTAATATATTAAACTCTTATTCCTGTATCATAAGACTGGAAATCTGTTTATTAAAAATTTTACAAAAGTCTGATCAAATCTGTAAAACAATCAGAGTGTAATTTATCAAAAAATGAAAAAGATTGCTAAATGTTCCTTTAATCCTACAGACACCCTATAATACTTATGAGTAGAAAATCTTTCTTGCTTGTTTCTTGCTTAATCATTGAACAAAAATCACAGCACATAGTCATGTCTATTTTCCCATCATCCCACTAACAGAGGTGTCATATGGACTTGAACCTGCTTGAAGTTTGATGGAACATTAAGTAAATTGCCCAGAAATAGAAAGAAATAGAAAAGCAGTTATCAAAGACATTACTAAAGTAAGAGTAGAATAGTACTTGGTAAAGTGGCTCCTAGAGTACAAATTGTTGGCTTGTAACATGATTTTGTGACAGAGGGTTATTCACAAATTCTGGCCTTCCAAAGCATTAAATGAAATTAGAACTAGAAATATAATTAAAAATAGCAAATTTAAACAGAAGGAAAAAATTTCTAAATAAAAATTTTCAACAAAAGTTAGAAAAAAAATCAAACAGTATGTATTGCGCATATGTAAGAAAAGGATAAATAACTATCAGCTACAAAATCCTCTGCTTATTGTGTGTCTGAATAACTCAAGTTACTCATGGTTGGTAGAGTAACCAGGGAGTTTACTCAGGAATAAAAATAAAAGAATATTACTTAAGCAACAGTAAAACGTACAGTAAAGTCCAGCCGCGCATAAAAGTAAATTTTTTCTAAAAGTTATTCAAGTAAATGTAACTGAGTAAATGTGACTGACTACTAGTAATTACTACTATTACTATTTATAATATAACTGGAGCACCCTAAGAGCACAGACCTCTGCCAAGGAGCTATTTTTACACCCTTTTTGGGACTTAAATCTATAGCTAAACTCACATGATCTGGATCATTACCAAATCCTTATGAATGTATGAATTCCTTGTCATGAGGCACACCTCTGGTAACAATATCCTTAAAATCCATTCATAGGTAAGTCTGCAGCCTCTGGTATCTGTTCTGTTCTCACCTTCTTCATTTGTTCTGCTTTCTTCTTTGATCAGCAGATTAAGCTCGAGTGAGCCATGCCTCCATTTTCTTTTGTTTTTGGTATTTTTGTCTTCAATAATACTTGCAGATGTTTTAACTCTGAACCCAGGCTCACCCCTTGCTCACACTGGCTCCGGTGCAGTTACCGAGCCGACGGAGACCGCAACTCCCGCACACCCCCTCTCACACCGCCCTTTTGACTACGGTGCGGTGCGGCTCTGCGGCTCCGGCAACAGGTCCGGAGATTTAACAGAAGTTCACTTGAGTTCACGTAACTTCACGCGATAACACGGCCCAAATAAAGGATTTTTGCGAGAGCTTGTTGCGGAGGGCTCCGGCACGCCGCAAGGATAGCTTTCTTGCGGAATTTTCTGCAGCGCCGGAGTGTCTCGGTAACCGCAGCCGGACAGCTCAGCAGCCGGTGAGAGAGGTTTACGTCTTTTTAATGACTTGGAACCCTTGCGGCGCCGCACACACCGCACCGCAACGGTAAGACCGGAGTCTGTGTGAGCCTGGGGTCACACCGACTCCGGTCTTACCGTTGCGGTGCGGTGGGTGCGGCGCCGCAGTGATTCCAAGTCATTAAAAAGACGTAAACCTCTCTCACTGGCTGCTGAGCTGTCCGGCTGCGGTTACCGAGACACTCCGGCGCTGCAGATAATTCCGCAAGAAAGCTATCCTTGCGGCGTGCCGGAGCCCTCCGCAACAAGCTCTCGCAAAAATCCTTTATTTGGGCCGTGTTATCGCGTGAAGTTACGTGAACTCAAGTGAACTTCTGTTAAATCTCCGGACCTGTTGCCGGAGCCGCAGAGCCGCACCGCACCGTAGTCAAAAGGGCGGTGTGAGAGGGGGTGTGCGGGAGTTGCGGTCTCCGTCGGCTCGGTAACTGCACCGGAGCCAGTGTGAGCAAGGGGTTAAGCTGTCAATAGTCACTCCTGCCACCCTCTGGTTTAGGGGGGAAACTGCATGTTCTGGCATGTATTCTTATCTGACAAAGTTAAAGAACAATTTCAAGAGTTTCGAAATCTGGATTATGACCTGGATCATCACCAACACTTCATGGATTGTTCCTTGGCATGAGATGCACCTCTGATTAATAAGAAAATCATTAAAATCTGTTTAGAACGTCTACAGTAATCAACCAACCAACAAATATTACCAAAAGCATAACGCCCTTCGCAGAAGAAAAAATTATAATTATAAAAATTATAGAGTCAAGACGAAGCAGTAAAATCTGGGATTGTCCAAAAAAGTCCTGCTTTAAAAACCTATGAAAAATTTCTCTAATTTACTAATCATAAGCTTATCCACACCAATCAGATTCTTTTTTTATCCAAATGAAACATAGCAGAGATTACAACAGTGGCGCTTATTGGACATTTCTTTCCATTTCCTAAACACAATAAATATATAATCATTGTATTTCAATTCACAAGATAATCCTGTCTTCTCTCTGCTGCAATTCAAAAGGCAACCTGAACAATTACAAAAGCATGAGTAAAGGAAAAAAAAAAAAAAACATTACACTGGGCGTGCTTGTTTAATTATGCATACGTGTCATTTCAGCCCCATTTGAAGGATGAAGATAAAAAAGAGCTTTTGTCGATAACCAGCCAAGCCTGTCGTAGCATAATGGAAACGGATCAGAGGCTCAGGCAATGAGGCCTCAAGGTTCTCCTGCTGTAAAAAGATTAATTGAAACCTAGAAGACTTTTAGCTGACTGGCCTAATGAAGTGGTGATATCAGAAAGCAAGTTGCTTTAGAAAGAATATAGAAGACAATGTGACTGAGAAAAAAAATATTTCAAAAAGTATTTTGTGATTATAAAAAGAAACTAGAAGTATAAGTGAATATTCAAGGTTTTACTGCAAGTCTTTATTGGAAGTAGAACTTGTTAAATGGCAAGATGTAATAAATATTCAGCACGTTTAATTATACTGAAATATTGGCTATTAAATAGCAATTTAGAACACACAACGACTATAACCCCCTGAAGAATGACAGATGGTACTCACTGGTGATACATCCGGAGAACATCGTAAAGGTAATCCTTCTCTGCCTCATTTTCAATCAGCAGCTCCACCTGCAACAGAACAGCAACATCTGCTACTATCTTTCCTCTATCAGCTCACTAACACACACATCATTACCTCTGTCCCGTGGTCCCGCCAACGTAGTGGGGGGTCTAAAGTTATCTACTAACCTGATGACGGCTCAGGTGCAGCAGGATGGTTTTCAGGAAACGTTTTGGCCAATCACTAATGCACATTTCGCCCTGATGTCCCTTCACTATCTTCTATCAGGGACCAAATTCAGAATGTGACTTCTTTTAAGCAGTGGGAGTAAAACTGAAGCTAAGCCGTAGAATGATCTGAATCTATGCCCGTTGTCCTTCTCTGTCAAACCACTGGGAGACAATAACGATAGGATCCAGCAGGAGGAAGGTCAGGAGTGTCAGCTTACATCTCACAGGCATGACACCCAACGTTCACACATAATCTTGTCCTAGACTCTAAAAGAATAAATATAATATTTTATTGTATTGAAAAGGCAAGAAGTATTTTAGGTATCGAGTTTAAAAACTCAATCTCATTCAGTAACAGTATATTTGGATTAGGGCTGAAACAATTCATTGAATTAGTCGTGATTAATTGATCATTGAAATAACCATCAACTAATTTAGTAATCAATTAATCATTAACTGGAGTATAGCGATTGTAAAATATGCCTTTAGCTGACAGAGCGACTCACTTAGAGCAGTAATTATACAAAATTGTATAATTACTGCTTAAAAATAAGAATTTAAAATTAAGTTAAAAAAAAATTGCATGTCAATATGCTCTATCCAGAACTTCTCAAGTGGAAAATTTTTAGATTTACCTGGTTGAAATTCAATAAAAAAATCTTCTTAAAGGAACCTTTCGCTATACAATTAATCGATTATTTAAAAAAATAATCAACAGATTAATCAATTTGCAAAATAATCATTAGTTGCAGTCCTAATTTGGATGCAGGTACTATTATTTTCTATACATTTTCTATTAACCAAATCCCAAATTAAAAGTAAGGATTAGTTTCAAAATGCACTGCTACATGTTTTGTTTTTACTTTATTGGAATTTAGAAGTCAACATATATTTTACATATTTTAGTTGTGTTGCATTAGAACTAATGTCTATTTAGCCAGAATGTTAAAGTTTGTACCAGAATTTTAACTCTCTGGCTGATGACGCAAAATTTGCCTATTTTGTTCTTTTTTCATGATGTATTCTATTCGTATGAAGATCCTCAGTCTGAGCAAAATCACCTGAACAACATTATGCTGCCGCTCCTGTACTCAACAGTCAGGATAATGTTCTCCGAGTTCTGAGCCTTCAAATTTCCTCCAAAATGTAAAAACATTCATTACTTCCAAACACTTTATTTTTATCTATTTATTTGTTTGTTTTTCAGACTACAGGAGATGCCTCTGAAAAATGTGTTTTTGTTGTTACATCATGTTAAATCGCTTTCATGTGCGATTTAACATGATGGCTTCTTCCTCTATGAGTGACCTTTAAGGCTCTGTTTATACAACTTCTTTCATTGTGGACAAAGTCCTACAGACTTCAGCTAACGTTTTCATAAGCCTTGTGCTCTCATTAAGGAGTCGATCCCCACACTTCCTTTTTGAGATATAGAATAAACTTCACTCTGAATGGTATGATGGCAGGACGTCAATGGTGCTTAATTTGGCATTGGTATATTCATTAAAAGCATAATATCAGTAGATGCAATACTTCTGAATTTGTAAACCGTATTTAAAAAAAAAAATCTTATTTTATTTGTTATTAAATAAAAAGAAATATTCTTGGCAAACCCTACTTTAAAAAACAGATACAATAAATATTTAACGTTTAAAAGTGAGAAGAAAAAAAGTCTTTACTTTTTGAAATGGATTACTATAGATACAGGGACATTGTCATTTATTGGAATGCAAATGTTATTGTGATGAAGTTGTCTTATGAGGACAGGTCAGCTTAATAAAAACAGGTGTGTTTAGAACACACCCAGAACTTTATGACCATTATAAATGTCTGTTGCTTAGTGCTGCAAGAAACTGCCAGCCTCTCCTGGGACTGGACTACAGACTTTGGAACCATAAAATAAAGTTGGATTCCTCTGTGTGTGTGTCATACAGTTATATAGAAAGTTATACTCCAAATAAAGAGTAAATTATTCTGTGTTTACTTAAAAACGGATGTATTATAATGATTAACAATAATTTTTTTTAGACACACGTCTGTGCTTTGAGGCTCAGAAAAATCTACTCTAAAATACTTTTGAGTGAATTGGGACAAAAGGGCTCATGACTGGAAAAAACAAAACAAAAGACTGTCTGTGGATATCCTCTAATTAAAACCATAAATTGCCACATCTTCTGCCTGGATGCTCATGTGTGGCACATTATCTAATACTGTGTTGCCCTTTATGAAGACAATATGGTTCTCTGCTTGGCTGTGTGCAGCACAGATGGCTGTGTGCTGATCCCTGCATGCTCTGTGGATAAAAATGCCCCAACCATATCAGGTGTCCTTCCTCAGTTATCCTCTTTCATGATTTTAAAAGTAATTTGAACACTGTGGTGTCAACAGCAACTACAACCAAATATTAAGAATATGCTTCATATACATTTTGTCATTAACAATAGAGTGCCCAATAGAAATGAATTTTAATCTTTGAAATAAAGTATTTATGATACCATTGTATTTTGTTTTCCCAACTGAAGTGAATTTTTAAAGAGATATCTCCTTTTTATGTTTCAAGTCCACATAAATTCAGCAAATAATTATAGTAAGTGGGGAAATAAATTGAAAGGGCTTTTTGATACTTCTGTCTTAAAAATAAGTTTGTTTGTTTTTTTAAGTGAGAATTTATAATCAAACAAAAAAACATTTACTAGCTTTTCCACCCAAAGCTCCTCTCATAATAAAAAAAATCGCTTTTTATTAAATCGGCAAAGAAGGAGAGATAAAACCTTTAGTCCTTAATAAAGTTTAGTTTCTAGATAATCTATTTTAAATAATTTAACATAATTTTTGACAGTCTGGGCTCTCTAAGCAACAGGCCTCTTGTGCGCACTGCGCAACATCCCCTTCAGAGGAGACACCTGAGAACAACCAGGTAGCAGCATACAATTCAATTTGGGTTATTTTCAGAACGTTACCGGAGTAAAATAAATAACGTTTCTTATCTTACCTTGTGCCTAAATTCTCGGGCAACTTTCCTCTCCATCGCTACGAGACAAAGAAAACCAGTCCGACCAGAGAAGCGCTGATGAAGTTTTACAGGACTGACCCTGGTCAGTGCGTCAAGATAGTCCAGGTATCAATTTCCGGTTTATATGTGTCGCCAAGAACTGTTTAATGTCACGTAAAAGAATAATTATAGTGCTATGAATGATTTATTAAACTTTATCTGGAATTATATTTCAGATAATGCTGATCATTTGCTCCATCCAATAACATGTTAAATGTATTTTATTTTGAAATTCAACAGCCCTATACGTGTATCATTTTTTTTTATTAGCAAACTTGAATACACGTATGATATTTGCTGCTGTATTGAACAAAACTTTAATTTTACTCTAAATTTACAATGAACTCATATGTTCCGAATTAATTAAATTAGAATTGATATTATAGCTTTAAAGGAAAAAGCGTCCCTAGCGCACCGCCGAACGTTAGGGGGCGCTCCGAATTTCGTCTGCGTTTTTCAGGAGGAGGCGCCGGAAGCGCTGGATTTAAAAACAGCAGCACGGTTGCTCTGAGCAACAAAACAGCTCTGACTCTGGAAACATCTTCATCTGTATGTAAAAGTTCATTTTACAATGCGTTTATAATGCTTTGAAAGGGATTTAGAGGACCTCTCTTAGTTATGTATTTACTGAATGGTTGTTATAGCTAAATGTGAAACTTTATATCTCGACGCTAGTAATGCCACAAATTCATGTACCTTCCCCTCTAGTGAATTGTTACAGCATATTCTTTTCAGAATCGGTTTAGCTTGGTTAATATATAACCGGTTTAGCTTGGTTAATATATAAAATGTGTTGTAGAGGCTTCTGTTTTTTAGAATAGAATAGAATAGAATATAAAACCCCTTAATTGTTCAACACTGGGGAAATTCTGGTGTTTAAAGCAGCAAAAACATTATAGAAAAATTTGTCACACAAATGTGGACCTAAGAAAAATGTATAAGAATAACATACTAGTGAAGAGTTAAAAGATAAACATTGTCATACTGTACTGTAAGGTGTTTTAACAATAACCAATATACAGCTATGGACATTTTTACAGTAATGGATATTTGAAAATAGCATAAAATGACACAAAATGACTGCAGCATGTTACTTAACTAAGATAGAAACTATGTCAAATCAGCATTTATGTTACAACTTATTGAAATTGTTGTGAACAGTGGTGATTATAAAGTCTTACAGCAGCTGGGTGGAAGGATCTTTGATAACGCTTCCCTGGTGCATTTAGGGTGCAGCAGTCTGCAACAGCTTCATGCATGGGGTGGGAGACATTATCCAACAGAGATTTTAACTTACTTAAGCTCCCTTTGTTTCCTGCCTTCTGCACTGAGGTTTCATGATCAAATCTCAGTTTGCAAAGTGCATTTTGTAAACTTGATTGTACTTTGCTATCCTTTGGAAATTACTGGTGAGCATACTAAATACAAAATTTATTTTCTTTTTTTATGGACCTTCCTTGTGTTTGCAATAAAGAATTGAATTGAACATTTTGGTATAATGAACTGCATCAAAACAATAAACTACATTCTTGATTATGTAATTCTTTCTTTGAATATTTTACTTGATTTTTTTGTCATTGATCTCAGTGGAAGCTGGACTCTAATTAGACTGTAAGTTGCATCTATCTATGTGTTTTATTTGAGGATTCACTGTAATTTTTCTCTTGCTCTAAAGATGTTTGGAAGAATGGGATCTCCAAGAAAGCATGCAACACCTCGCAGGTTGGGGAAGTTTTGTTTTTTTGCTTATCTACAGATCCATTCTCCTCACCCATTTTGTAAAGTTTGCAAGTCAGATCCTTTTCAGGGTCACAGACATACTCTTGTAATCATAACTGTTTCTGTTAAGCTTTTAAAGGTCTGCTGCTTAATAAGGGGTTTAATTATCTTTAAAAGGAGTCATACGTCTTCTTTTACTACAGAGTCAACATTGGTTCCCCTGGTAACGATGTGGATTCCCCACTTCCTCCCATCCATGAGCGCCTTGCATACCTCCGTCCTTCCAGGGAGCTGCTGGAGTTCTACAGACAGAAGATAGCCCAGTATGATGATGAACATGAAGAGCTTTTGCAAATGCTCGAGAAATATAAAAGCATCACAGATGACCAGGTGGGAATCAACAGACAATGTTTTATTTTTTTGGTTTGCTAGTTTTCATCTCTTCCTGATTGTTTTAAATGTTATTTTCTCTGTCAACACTTTTCCAGCACAAACTGCAGTTTGACATACGACAGCGGGAAGGAGAGATTGCAGAGCTTCAAAATGCCCTGAGTGACATGCAGGTCTACCTTTTCCAGGAAAGAGAGCAGTCTCTACGACTTTATGCAGAAAATGACAGACTGAAGATCAGGTAGGTGCAGTGTGCTGGACAAAACACAATTCTAAAAACGGCGTCATTCATTCTTTTTTTTCTTTAAACCTGATGTTTTCAACAATTTGAAATCAGAGGGAAACAGATTTTCTTATCTCTAATCATCATTTATCAATCAATTCAATAAAATTTGTTCTCTGAAAATTAATCAGTTTCCATTTAGACCAATTATTGGTTGGTCTAAAACTATTGGTATATTATAAAAAAAAACATTCAAATGTAATTTATTTTGTAGTGGCAGAAGTTATTTGGTTTTTGGTCTTCTTGTCTTCATTTTTAAAGGTTTCCACCAATAGTACCTCAGTATAGTCACTTTAATACTATGATATACGTATTTGCTATTTTGCTTGTCTTATGACTGAGTATGGTCATTTTAATAATTATATGCTATTATTATTTGCAATTATATGCTATTTTGACTGTCTTCTATCCGTGTGTCTTCTCATTTATTGCTACAGAGAGTTGGAGGACAGGAAAAAGATCCAACACCTTCTTGCTCTTGTTGGTCCTGATGCAGGGGAGATTACATACTTCCACCAGGAGCCTCCTCATAAGGTGGTACACAGTCACTACTGCAGAGATGTCTGGTATCTCTACTATCTTTGACATCCAATTTGCTCTGGCTTATAGACCATAGTAAAAGAAAAAAAAAGCTTTATTTATTTATTTATTTTTACTGTAATGCTTGCATAACACTAGCAGTTCTTTCTATGAAGTTATCAAAAGTCATTGTCTCCCTTTTTTATTGAAGATGATGAAGATAACCTAAATGTCTAAGGCTTTGAGGTGGTTCTTACGTTGTTTAAATTATTTTGAATTTATTTATACTTTTTTACTGTGCTTTTGGTTGTTTCATATAAAGTATATTATAGTTGATTTTGGTCCAAAAAATGTTTCCTTTTTATTATTATTTTCATCTTTTGAGGTTTTTATTTTGTCTTTATTAAAAGAGATTCACATTGAAATGTGGAGACCCTACATGACACATTGTGTTTGTTTTTTCAGGTTACGATTACTCAGAGGCTCCCCGAGTCCAGATTTGATGAAAATCTCAGTCTAAGGCCAACAAAGTTAAGAACAGCTTCGGCTGCAAAAGGTTTGAAAGCATCTATTTTGCTTCTTTTTAGCCACTTAAATGTGTGTTTTAGAATAAAATGAAATATTAATCTATATATTTAAACAGAGCTATTCAGGAAAAGCAAAGCAGTTGGTGTTTCTAATGGTGAGAGCTTGGAACAGTGTAAGCGCGATAACCAGACGCTGCTGTTACAGGTATGGCTCCACCTCCTGGACATGTTCTCTTTGGCTCTGATAAATGCCACTTACAAGAAAATGAACATGTTTTCAGTTGTTATTTTTACACTGTTGGATTGTGTTTACAGGTGGAGGCCCTGCAGGCTCAGATGGAGGAACAGACACGTCTGAACAAAGAACAGGTGGAAGCTCTCCTGGAGGATCGGAGGATCAAAACAGAGGAAGCTCAGGCACAACGACAGAGAGACCAGGAACGCATTGCTGCGCTGAATCAGAAGTTCGTTCTGTTTCTCACCTTATGTCCATTGCATCTTCTAATCAATTCTGCCTTGACTGAACTGTTCTGGATGACTTGTTGTTAATTTGTTTTTATGCATTAGGCTCCAGCAGACTCAGAACCTGTTGCATGAAAGCACAAAAGACTTCTTACAGCTAAAATTTGACGCTCGGGCCCAGGAGAAAAGCTGGATGGTAGAAAAAGATCGACTGTTGAGAGAGCTAGACTCATTCCACAACCGAATGAGAAAGACCGGGTCCAGTGGCGCTGACCTGGGAAGATCAGGGCAGCCCAGCAGCAGCAGATCAGCTCCTGTGATGCCTCGAACGCAACCAGAGCTGGCACAGCCACATAAAGAGGAGAGAAAGGTAAAAAGCTGATAGATTATTTCTATTGAACACTCGTTCACATTTCCTGAGCGGTATAGTTGTATTTCAGTCATGAATACACCATGACCATTTACTTATTGGCTGTTTTGTTTTTAATAGGCTCTACAGGAGGAACTGAAACAAGCTCACAGGTTGGCAGAGATGTACAGGGAGCAGTGTATCACTATGGAGACCGAACTGTCCCAGATCAGAGAGGAAGGAGACGTAGGCAGAGAAATATTTAAGGTTTGCTGCTTTTAGAAATACTTAACCATGTTTATTTAGTTTATTTCTTTTTTTTATGAATCTCTTCTGTATTATCTTATTATTCTTCAGGAGCGTTCAGTAAAAATGGCCAAGCGTCTCCAGCTCATGACTCAGCGCTATAAGGCTTTGGAGAAGAGAAGGGCCATGGAGGTGGAGGGTTTCAAGACGGATCTGAAACACCTCAGACAAAAGCTCAAAGATGTGGAGAACCAGCTTGTCAAGGTAAAAATGCCCCCGACTCTGTTATTAATTTATTCAGCAGTACGCTAGCATAAATAAACCACATCATTTTGGATTATTTTTTTCAGGTCACCTTGAGTATTGGGCCCAACCAGGACCTAGCCATTTTAAATGAAGTTCGGCAAACCAACTCGAGGACAAAAAAAGTTCAGAATGAGCTGGTGGCTCTGAAAGCCAAAATTTATGGACTTGAAAATGAGCTGAGATTTAGCTGAAGAATGTTTTTTTTTTTTTTTTTTTATCAGATTCCCTTGTTGTTGTGGATTCTTCTGCTGTTTTCCAACAAGGCACTGACTGAATGTTATTATTTTGTGTTTCAAACCAATAAAACTTTATGGATAAACATGTTTCCAGACATTATCAATCTCATTGTCTCAATGTAGTCCATGATCTTCTTGTGTGTCTCCTCTCCTCCTGTATTTCCTTGGTCCTCCTATAGTTTCCTCCTCCCTCTAAAGTGTTTTCTGCTCTTTCCTTTGTTGTGATAGATTTTGATTTTGCAATAATGTTTCCTATTTACATTAATTATTTAATGTTATCCTTTCAAATAGCAACTAACTTTTCTAAGAAATATTTTTTCTCTTATTAGAGCAATTCATAACATACCAGAGATGTTTCTGCTGTTGGCTACTGCTTGCTTCTGCTACTTTTCAACAAAGAAATGAAGCATTTATCTTTTCTTCTATTTCATATCATTTTAGCAGTTTCTGTCATTTTCAGCTTACAGTTTAGCCTATTGCTTTCTGACTTGCTATTTCTCTGAAACAGCTTTATCTAGTTTAGTTAGGATCCTTTTGTTTCCCACCTTCTGCACTGATGTTTCATGATCAAATATCAGTTTGCAAAGTCCATTTTGTAAACTTGATTGTACTTGCATTGCTTTGGAAATTACTGGTGAGCATACTACGGTAAATGTTTTTTTATTTTATTTTTTATTTCCTTGTGTTTGCAATAAGGAATTGAATTGAACATTTTAGGATAATGTGCAAAAAAAAAAAAAAAGTAATAAATGCAGCACTTACAAAGTGGATAGAGCAAGCTGAAACTATTTAGAAAGCCTACAGTTGTAATCCATAAATGATTAGTTTGTGCTTTGGCTATTGACTTTAATTAGTGAGAAAAGTAAACATATGGTTTAATTTAAAATCATGTGTTTTCAATAACCGAGGAAATTATTAAACTTACTAGAGGTAGAACTGCATCAAAACAAACTACATTCCTGATTTTCTCTTGCTTTAAAGATGTTTGGAAGAATGGGATCTCCAAGAAAGCGTGCAGCACCTCGCAGGTTGGGGAGGGTTTTTTTTTTTTTCTTTTTTTTTTCTTTTTGCTCATCTACAGATCCATTCTCCTCACCCATTTTTGCAACTTTTCTAAGAGTATTTTTTTTTCTCTTATTAGAGCAATCTCTGGAATGCTTACTTCTTACTTTAAAAAAAAGATGCAGTTTTACCGTACTTGAGTACATTTCAAGGTAATCGATTCAGCTGTAGTTATCACTGAAACAATCAGGTAACTGTTTAAAATTCAGACACACTACTTGTTTTAGGAGTGATTAAATAAATTAAAAAAAAACATTGAAATTACTAATGTGGGTTCCAAAATATATATATATATATACACATTTTCTTCCTTTGGCACCTTCTTCTTGACTATTTGAGCTAATGTAGCGAGTAAATTTCCCCACTATGAGATTAATACACTCAAACAATTAATGAACGTGGAAGATTGTAAAATCTTAAAGGGGAAAAAAGCCTTAAAATCTTAAATTTATTCACAAACACAATTGTACAAACTGAAAATTTAGTTTGTACTTTAGTTTGTTCTAGTTTCATTTCTGCTGAAGTATTAATTTGCCGACGTGTTTCCGGTGAAATGAAACGTCAATAAAACATTACATAACTGTGCGAGGTGTTGTTCTGCGCATGCGCACCGCTTCTTACAGACAGTAATAGTGGGACAGTTTGTCCTGAATGGTGGCAGCTTCACAATGAGGAAACCTAAGTGTTGACACGCGCTGGTGGGAATGTTATGAGCTCCTACCTCAGGTTTCTATACAAGTATCCAGATCGCTGGTTGTTTCTCCCCTCCGGAGCTTTGCCTGATAAGTGCCTGCAGCCATGCAGAGACTAAGGTGTCTTAAAAGTTGTTGGCAGTCGCTCAGATCAAGCTGCGAGGGAGCAGCTAAACCAGCAAGATATTACAGCAATGTAAGTGATTGCTTTGCAGTTAAATTCATTGTAGCATCGATCAGATCAGGATGTATTAAATCTTTTAATGCTTTATGTTGTGCAATAATAGTGACTGTCTCTGTTTCAAAATATTAGTTTGTTTATATTGAAATGACAAAAGAATTGGAGTTACTTTTATTTTTTATAAACACACATTCATCCATAACCTGGAACCCCTACTCATGGGGACCCCTTCTTCAAAAGGATCCTGCAGTGCCAAATCAAATCAAAGCAAATGTCACCTTCACAGTCCTCTGCAAGGCAAACAGATCCCATTCATATCCAGTTACATTGGCTTGATTTCCTTTTAAAGTCATCAATGATAATAGAGTCAAATCCAGATCCAAGCCCAGTTTATTCTGTTCAAAAGTAATTGCTTATTTGGTCTAGTCTGTATGAAACCTTAAAGGAATAGTACACCCAAAACATGATTAGCCTTCATTTTCTACTCACCTCCATGCTGAACAACACTCTGGAGTACTTTTTTGATATCTCAAATGCATCTGGAGATCTGGGAGGCTTCTTGCTGTCTGCTGACATTCAAATAATGGAGGTCCATGGCGCCCGAGACAGAAAGGTCCATAAAAGTCCACAAAAACGTGTCAATATTCCTCCATACTGCTCGTCCAATGTAATCCAAGTGTCCTGAGTGGGTAGCATCCAGAATTTACTCGAAACGAAGTCATTTAGAATGTTTTTAGAGCATAAACAGTAGTGTATAGGATTTCCTAATAGCGCCCCCATGCGCGCTCACGATTCTACGGAAGCCGGCAGACCAAACCGGAAGGAAGTGCGCATTCAGCGTCTGGTCTGCCGATAATGCAAGCGTAGAAGAAGAAATGTGCTGTTTACCTGTGCAAAGAAAGAAACAACGAAAGAAAAATGTCTGAGGACTTCAGTGTTGAGGAAGAGCATGAGTTCTTTGCCGAGCTGAATGCGCTGGTTTGGTCTGCCGGCTTCCGTAGAATCGTGAGCGCGCATGGGGGCGCTATTAGGAAATCCTATACACTACTGTTTATGCTCTAAAAACATTCTAAATGACTTCGTTTCGAGTAAATTCTGGATGCTACCCACTCAGGACACTTGGATTACATTGGACGAGCAGTATGGAGGAATATTGACAAGTTTTTGTGGACTTTTGTGGACCTTTCTGTCTCGGGCGCCATAGACCTCCATTATTTGAATGTCAGCAGACAGCAAGAAGCCTCCCAGATCTCCAGATGCATTTGAGATATCAAAAAAGTACTCCAGAGTGTTGTTCAGCATGGAGGTGAGTAGAAAATGAAGGCTAATCATGTTTTGGGTGTACTATTCCTTTAATGATTTTAAAGTTGTATAAAGAGTTTTTTATGCTAATAAAAAAAAAAAAAAATCCCCCCACTGGATTAGATTAAATCAGCCTTCAATTTCCTGTTTTAGGTCACTTAGAATGACCAAATTACCAATTTGTGTGCAGCTTCTCACTGAAAAATTTCCCAATTTTTAGTCAGGTTAGTGGCTCTTTCTAGCTCTGGATATTTCCTATTGTACAGATGTGATGGCCACTCACCCCAAAACATCTGTAAAGCCACTTTTTAGTTATTTTAGCTGTCTGCTCATTAGTCATTTGTATTTTTGCACAAGCATTTGTCCAGTGTCTTGACAAGTTTCTTTATTACTCTAGCAGAGGCATGATACAGCCACCCCCATACTTCACAGTTGGGAAGGTGTTTTCAAGTTTTCCCCCTATTTCCTAAAAATATAAATACATTATGGTCTTAACCTTGAATTGTATTTTATCAGACCGCAAAAGAAATCCTTGTGGACATTTCCAATCAGCATTTTTGCCTTTTTATGTTGCTTTTGGAGTAATGACTTCTTCCTTTCTGAATGGCCTTGCAGCTCATTTTTAAGTGGGACTCCCCCATTTGATAATAACATTCTATTACCAGCTTCAGCCGGCACCATTACAAGCTCTTTTTGGGTTTGTTCTGGGGTTGATTTGCACATTTTTCATCAAAACAATCCGTGTTGGTTTCTGGAACCATGGTGTCTGAATGTTGGAACCATGTAGGTCCATATCTTTCTTTTAGGTATATCACTTAATTATTTTTCATATTTCTATGGCAACGCATAACAGAGGAGGGTGTCTTGTTTTTTTTTTTTATCAACTTAAAAGTTTTAGATTATCAGATGTTTTTTAAATTATATTACCTGGCCAGGTGTTTGAAGGCATAGTGCTACATCCTTCATATAACTCAATGTTTTCTTCGAGATCAGAACTTGAATTTTTGGTCTCATCTGACCAAAGCACTTATTTTCTCTTGTGTACATTTTAATAAATATCCCTACTCTGGCCCCTCCTCCTATAGAACCCCAGCTCCTTTGGACTCCTCTTTGACATAGATGGGGTCCTAGTCCGAGGTAGGACCCCGATCCCTGCCGCTAAGCAGTGCTTCAGGAACCTGGTGGACCGCAATGGGAAGTACAAAGTTCCTGTGGTGTTTGTCACAAACGCAGGGAACTGCATGAGGCAGACCAAAGCTGAGCATCTGTCCCATCTGTTGGAGGTGGAGGTAAACTGAAACACATTTAAACTATTATCAGCTTCATCCATCTCCATACGATTTCAGGTTATGTCCTTTATTTCTTTTTATTCCAGGTGTCTCCCGACCAGGTGATGCTGTCCCACAGCCCTCTGCGAATGTTTACACAGTTTCACAAAATGTGCGTACTGGTCTCAGGCCAGGGTCCTGTTGAGGAGGTGGCTCACAAGTATCCTATCTTATCTGAGGGAAACCGGTTCCTCTGCTCACTCTGGCTGTTTGTCTAAGCCAGCGTGCATGATTTGTTTATTTAGTGTGCTGGTGCAAGCTCCACTTTCTTATCAGCTTTTAATCTTTGTCCCCCCTGCATCAGTGAGGCCTCTCACAGATCTGTTCCTTTAAATGAAATGGTTTAGGGTATTTAAATTAGTACAAGTTGATGTTATTTTAGCTAAATGGTTCTTGGGCAAAATAAAAACTCATCATAGGAAAATTCTAATAATACTATAATTATTCAAAACTGTTAAGAATGGTCACAAAAAAGTAGGAGGTGTTGTTTTTGTTGTCGTCATACCTCTTTAATGTGTGGTATTGTTGCATGTACACTTAACAGATTGTAATTTTACTAGTTGTAACCCAGCGTGTGCTCACACCTTTTCTTCTCCATTTCTTACCCATAACAAATTAGTTTTGTACCTGTTTTGAAGTACCAGCTTATTTATATTAGTATTTTTTTGTATAAATAGCTATAAAATTGCCCATTTATCATGTATGTTATAGTTAAATTATATTCTTTATTTTATTTGAATCTTTGCCTTTTGGTCAATCTGATCGTTCTAGAATATGATCCGTAATAAAACTAAGTAGGTGATTATTTGTTTGGTGTTAAAGCAGGTATGAGATTTCTCCCTGAGGAGTAAAAATTGATGCATGGTTGGTCCAAAAGGTCAGATGGCAGTGATTTCTAACAACTACAAGGTTAAGACTATCAAGGTAGTACAATGTGGTACAAAGTTTAGGACATCCAAACAATAACCACTCAGTGAGTTGAGCTAGGCGGAGCTAGACATGCATCTGGCTGTTGTCAGGTTATCCAAACAAGCCATTACCTTGTAAAATTCGATGAATCCCAGCCTGACGATGTATTGCTGCATGGAATTGGTTTGCTCTTCTCATGCATGTTTAGATTCTCTCCAGGTTCTCTGATCTCTGCCAATCTAAAAAACTATTATTTTTCTTTAAAAACGAAAGAGTTTTTAAAGTTTCCTTTCTATATGACAGTGTGTGTGCATGGTTATTTATCCTGAGTGTCTCTCTGCTGCCCTATGATGAACTAGTGACCTGTCCAGGGTGAAAGGTCTACCTTTAATCCCATGCCTTTGGAAGGTGGGCACCAGTCCCTGCTCTGCAATGCAAAGACAATTAGGTGTAGACAGTGTAGCGATGGATGATTTAGCCTGACCATTACCTTTAAAGAATATGTTTTAACAGCTTTAGCAAACTTTCTCATCTGTGTGACTTTAACTCACAAAATTCCAGCCTGGGCTTTGAGGATGTTGTAACCATAGATATGCTCAGAGAGGCGTACCCTGTCCTGGATGTTGTGGACCACAGCAGGAGACCCAAAGATTCTGTAAGTGTAACTAATTGCTCAAATCGGTTTATGCTTTCATAAGTTAGAAACTTAATGCTTATTGTCAAATTTCTTACAGATTCCTCCCACTAAAGGCTTACAGCCAATAGATGGTATGTTTCCCTCACACAAGCAGCTTATACGAATAAAGACAAGTTTTCTTTCTTTGCACTTAATCAGAATTTTTATAAAATCTTTAAATTATTTTACATATTGTTGCCGTGGCATCATTTCACATGTTCATCTGATCTAGTTTGAATATATATTTTTTTCTATGGGAGTAAAAGGCTCAATCTAAATACCTCAAATTATTGCTCTTAGTTTCTTTTTCTACCTCCTATCCCTTCACCTTTTGGTGGGGTCAAGAGTAAAACTCTATGCAGGATAGGAAAGGAGCTCCTTACTGCTTTGCTAAATCAATACAGCCTTCATTGAATATCTCCATTATAAAACCAAAAACATATGAGAGATTATGTCTAAATTTGCTAATGTCACTAACACTGTTCTGATATTATCATTATTATCATGACCCACTTCCTTCGTAGCTAACTGTTGCCGATATGAGGTATTGCATTTGAGCCAATGCCAGATTTGTGAGCAGAGGTAGAAGTTGGCCAGGGGTGGCCATGACCTTACCAGGTGATTTAATGCTCCCATGTGGACCTAATTCACCACCTCCAGAACAAGCAGATCACCTCTATAACAGAGGGAACTGGAATGCTTTAAATAAAGTTTGATAGTCATAAGAGTTTTCTATGAAAGATAAAGAGCAACTTCTTAGCCTATTTTAAGTGCATATTAAAAAAATAAGTGTATCATATTTGACATATATGAAATTTTGAGACCTCTACATCATCAGTTTGACATGTTTGTTCTTGAAAACCCTCACTTATTGGTTATTTATTCTACAGGTGCACAGTATTTATATTGTTAAAATACTTTATAGTACAGTGTTTTTTTATGTTTTTTATTTATCCTTTATTAACCACATAATACCCATTGAGATGAAAAATCTCTTGCAAGGGAGACCTAATATCTTTTCTTTATTAACTATTCACTATTATGTTATTCTTATACACTTTTCTAGGTCCACATTTGTGTGACCATTTTTTCTATAATCTTTGCTGGTGTAAACACCAGAATTTCCCCACTGTGGGGTATTAAAGGGGTTTTCTATTCTATTCTATTCTATTCCATTCTTATATAATCAGACACAAGTAATGAACAGAAATTTAATTTCTGAGATTTTAATAACAACTTTAGTGAAAAGATATAATTTTTCTGATTATTATTTCATGTTTTAGGCCTTAAAGAGTTAAGCAGAAACATATATAATTAATTTAGACAGCATAGCTGTATAAATATGCATATATATTTATTTGTAAGGGCTTCATGAAAATCTGGCCTCTTTTAAATTATTTATTTGTGAAATATAGATGTTATGCTCTTTCATTTTCCCGTTGGTACAGATTTATTTATGTAGAATCAACCTGAACTGTTATTTTTTCAGTTTCTGGCTACACCATAGTGCACATCTCCGTCTCACCACCCTATGAAAACCTCCTTGCTCTGCCCCTGTTTAGGAAGAAATGCTTTTAACAGCAACCAGGCGTGACTCCTTTAGTCTGTAATTTTACAGACACGTTTTGCTAATAGAATTTAATTCCATCTTATAACTTTTCTATTAATAGTTTCATTTAGGGGTACACAATATTGGACAGTGCGTGTCAATACTTAGGTTTCCTCATTGTGAATATTGGCCCATAACTTTTTTCCCCCTAGACCTACATACAGACCCTATACATTTTTCTCTTCCTGTCCTAAGCAGTTATTGCGCAGCAGTTCAGCTATCTATTTTTTTTGTGTGTGTGTGTTAAATCACAGCACTTTAATAACAATGTTTGCTCTGAAAATGAGTATTTGCTGAAGGTTAACTTTTAAACAGAAGGTGCCTTGCTTTAATATTTACAGCTGTGATTTTATTTGGTGAGCCAATCAGATGGGAGACCAATCTTCAGCTCATCATAGACGTTCTTCTAACCAACGGAGATCCAGGCAAATCATGGACCTCAACCCAGTATCCTCACATCCCCGTCCTGGCCTGCAATATGGACCTGCTGTGGATGGCAGAGGCAAAAAATCCAAGGCATGTCTGTTTGATCCACTAAACCCATAATTACTCAGAGTTTGGCACATTGAATGCTGAGTAGTCTTTGTGTTACAGGTTTGGACATGGGATGTTCCTGGTTTGCTTAGAGAGTCTGTACAAAAAGGTCACAGGTTACGATCTGAAGTATGAGGCTCTGATTGGTAAACCAAGTGTGGTAACTTATAACTACGCTGAGCTGTTAATAAGGCAACAGGCGGAGAAACTTGGCTGGAGCACACCTGTGAAGACGCTCTACGCTATAGGGTGAGTTTATTTATTCAATGTTTCAAATGTGAAAATCATTTTTAAAAAATCATTATTTTGATTAGTTTAACCTTTTTCAACAGAGACAACCCCATGGCAGACATATATGGAGCAAACCTCTACAATCGCTACCTTCAGGCCTCCCAGCGCACCAAAGCCAAAGTGAAGGCCAAGAGTGGAGGAGGAGCAGATCCAGCGAATGAAGCTGTCGAGAGCCAACATAAAATGACAGCGGCAGAAATGGGCGGTGCAGCTTACGGGTCAGAGGAAGACCTTCCTGAAGGTTGCAGGTCTATCCTGGTTTGTACAGGCGTGTACAGCAGAGATCAACAGGAGCTGCCTTCAGATCCAGCGCAGACGGTTACCGAGCAACGCATCTTCCACGGCCACAGGGACTTCCGCTTCGACCCCACCCTCACACAGCCCTCGTTCGTGGTGCAGGACGTGAAAGAGGCTGTGGAGCTGGTTTTCCAGGAGGAAGGCTGGCCTCTAGAGTAGTGCAGAAATATTCAGATTGGTTCTCTTTTTTTAAAAACTATTATACATATCCTGGCTGTTACTGATTAATTTTTCTGATTGGCTGAAAAAGCTATGTTTTCCCAAGTCTTCACACCCTCTTAAAATGGCTTATTTTTTCATTTTTATAAAAAAAAAAAAAAAATTTATAATGAATAATATCTTAACATTTTCCACCATTAATGCAACACACATCACGTATGAATTGATTATATCCAAAAGAAATAAAACATCCGTCACAAGAAAAACAAAAAAACACAATAATGTTGCATAAATATGCATATCCTTTAGTTATCATTCAGCCTTTTTGATAAAAAATCAGCAGCATTCGCTTTCTTTGCCCTGCAAATGTTAGGTTCTGGAATAGGGATTTACAAAACCTTATTTTTCCTCTCCTTGGATCATTAAAACTTTCCGATTAATAATTAAGATGCATGTTTGAATAAGGGATATTTTCCAACACAGTCCTGAGCAGCCATCATCCTGATCTCCTGCATCAATGAATGCCTCATTAACAGATTACTGCATAACTTCCTGAGGAGGTTATTGGCAGTTAAAAGATACAGGACAGTATTTTTTTCTGTTCTCGGACCATTGATGGCTATTTTTACTGTCAGTGTCCGATGCTGTGAATACTTTTTTCTTACCAGTCTGACTGATGCCTTTATATTATAGGAACCTGCATTTTAACTGTTTCTAACTAAAGGATAAAAATGTAGATGTCAGAAGAATCCAAGAAGGAAACATTTCAAGTTCATCAGATTTCCTATAATTCATGGTGTGTGTAAAAGTTAAAAAAAACCCAGAAAAGTTAAATTGAGATTTAACAAAGGTGATAAGGTCAAGGATGCGAATACCTGTGCTGCACGTTTATTTCAGCTTTTAGTTTGTTTTGTTTTTGAAATGTGGAGAACACACACATATCCACAATAGGATCAGAATTTATAGATCAGTCAGATTTCACATAAATAACATAGTTTTAATCAGCTAACACAACCTCACCTTTAATATTGTATGCCCACTTTATTTTCATATCGTCTTTATTTATAGAATTCTGTAACCATGACCTTTGACCTGCTTTTAAACTAATTACATCAGCTCTTTAAATCTTTAAAAGATAACTTAGAGACTATAGTTGTCTGGCTGCTTAAATAAAGCACAGCTTAAGGATATTTAAATCAATACAGAGCAAAGGCTAAATAGCCACAAATGTTGCTTAATGGGAAAAAGCACTTATTGACATGAAGAGGAATTTTATTTGAAAAATAAATCTTTTCCTCTTATTTTTTATGGTGTGCCAGCTGGTATTTTCCAGCCTGATTTGTTTTGAATTCAGGGTTAATGTATAACCAGTAATGCTCAGGAGATTAAATTGCCATTGTTTAATTTAGCTTAAAAAAAAAAGTTGTTTTTTTTAACTTGATATTTTTGAATGTTTCTGTGAAGTTGACAGGATTGCACTGCAGGAGTTTGTACAGAAAACGAGGAGTGGTTTACTACATTTATTGAACTGCAGTATTTGTTCCATCTTTAATGAAGATTTGAATGTGAAGGAAACTTCAGGTCAATACTTCGGAACTCTGGTAATGTACTGTAAAAGCAATACTTTGTAACAACAATTAAAAACATGAAACAAGCTGAAAGTAGGCTGAAAATGGTGTTTACTGTTGAAAAACGTTTGTATAGATTCCTGCAGCAAAGGCACGACTCATTACATTTTGCAGCAGTTTATCCCCAAGAGGAATATTTCAAACCTTAGTTACAGATTCCATTAAGATTTATAAATACTATGACAAGAATATGTACAAAAAAAAACATCTAAAACCGAACTTGCAAACATTGTCTTCAAAGAAACTACAAACTATCATTAGGCCCTTCAGCTTTGTATCAAATGCTAAATCTGATTGTCTTTTCAGCACCCACACTTTTTATTGTCTGAAACGTTGCCTTGAATTGGATGTGAGCAATCGCTTAGCATGAACTGCGGAGAGCAATGAGAGTTCTGATCTGCGATGGTCATGCCGTTGCGGGCCAGCAGCTCCCGAGCCATGAGGATGAAGGCGGCGTCTATGTTCTGGGCCTCCTTAGCTGATGTCTCCAGAGCAGCCAGCAGGCTGTTCTTTTCAGCTAGGGTGCATGCATCCTCAAACAGCACCTGTCTCTTAGCATGGAGATCCGACTTATTACCTGCAGAAGATTTGAACATCTGTATTATTATCTTAATTTTTCTGGTCAACTATTAAAACACAAACTAGCATCAACTTAAGGTGAATAAATTAAGCAAGATAGTATTCAGCTAAGTGAGTATTAAAACCAACTAACTACATTTAATCATAATAAAACCCAAAGCATCAATGTATTTGACATTTGACATGATATGTTAAGTTAGTGCAAGAAAAAAGATGGTTGAGTCCAAACAGCTTGACACGGCAGGTCATAATGTCTTGTACACAGACTTGGCAAGTGAGTTTTAATGCTATATACCCTTCCTGATACAACATAGATCCACCCTGGGTCTCCCCTTTTAAAAAAATAGAGGTAGTTTACAATATTGCAGAAGGTTAGGGTAAACCACTTTTTTTTTTTTTATAATCTGACAAAAAATAAATTAGGCATACCTGGATAATGAGACAAATGAATGTGTTTTTTTCTCAGTATAAACAAAAACATTTGTTAGAGAGCATTAGTGAGTAAAAAGGATCATGGAGACCCAGGAACACATCAAACAGTTGTAGAATAAAGGTTTAGAAATGTTAAAAACAAGTTTAGGTTCAGCTGGAATAATCTACCAACTATTAGTGAAACAGGATTTTTTTTAAGTAGATCTTTTAGCATGGAGTGCCATGTTCTCCCTGTGCATGTTTGGATTCTCTCCGGGTACTCCGGCTTCCTCCCACAGTATAAAATCATGACTGTTAGGTTAATTGGCTTCTCTGTATTCTCCTTAAGTGTGAGTGTGTGCATGAATGATTGTTTGTCCTGTTTGTCTCTGTGTTGTCCTGCAATAGACTAGCGACCTGTCCAGCGTTTACCCTGCCTCTCACCCGTAGACAGCTCGAGATGGATGGATGGATGGATGGATGGATGGATGGATGGATGGATGGATGGATGGATGGATGGATGGATGGATGGATGGATGGATGGATGGATGGATGCTCCTCAAAGTTTTCCACAAACTATGTAAACATGTGGAAAAATGCTGTTCTATAATGGAACATCACCTTAAACACACAGTCCCCACCGTTAATCATGTTTGTGGCAACATTGTGTTAGAAATTCCAATAGAGTTGATTTTGGATGAATCTTCATCATCATGTTGGATAACAGCCCTAATCACATAGCTACAAAAGACTGATTTTGCTCAAAGCAATAGCTGATAGAATTTCCCAGTCAAAGTCCAAATCTGAATCCATGATGAGAGAGAAACTTAGCTTATATTTTGCAAGAGAAGATGGAAAAATGTTTATGTGCACCTTATGATGAAGACAAAGTGAAAAAGAACTGCAGCTGTAACTACAGTAGTGTGGTGAATGGTACAACAAACTCTGCAGGTCTTTATTTGTTAAAAAGAAAACCATTTATGTGTAACAAGGACAATAAATTGCATTGAGACTGATAGTTGTAATGTGAGTAAATCCAGAATCCTTCCTAGGGATGCATTCAATTTGTATCCCATGTAAAACGGTTCAACTCCACTTAAAACGCCTACATACCAACAAGAATCACTACCACGCTGGCGGCTCCGTACTGCTCTACCTCCCTGATCCAGTGGGAAACAGATTCAAATGTGCTGCGGCGGCTGATGTCGTAGGCCACCATGGCTCCATGCGCACTGCGGTAGTAACTCTGTGTTATGGTGCGGAAACGCTCCTGTCCTGCAGTGTCCCACACCTGCATCTGGAAGAACGCAGAGTACAAATAAGGGCCAAACTGAGTGGGTTCAGTATCAGCAAAACATTGAAAACTGAAGCAGACAGTGTGGTGAACTGTGAAGGGTTTCATTAAATTGTTGTTGCTTTGAATTTAGCAATGCAACGCATCCAGAGACCAAACACAAAGGTAATACCAATAAACAAAGCAGAGGTTATTTCATTTTAAGATAGTAGAAAGGGAATAAAAAGTAGTTAACAATATAGTTTTATAAGTACTTAACATGAAAACATATAAATCCAAACTGTCTCATGGAAATCAGTCTTTCTAGAAAACACACAGAGACAGCTGCTAAGTACCTACCTTCACCTTCTTCCCATCAATGTCCAGGGTTCGAACAGTGAAATCAACGCCGATGGTGTTCTGCTGCTTCTCAATGAATATACCCGACTTGAACCTCTGCACCATGCAGGTCTTTCCAACATCAGAGTCCCCGACCAGGATGATTTTAAAAAGAAAGTCAAAGGAGTCCTCGACCTCTGGCTCAGCAGACTGCATGGTGACAAAAACTTTAGTTGAAATGCAGTATCCCAAGACCTTGGTGCCTCCCTGCAACAGAACTGGTTTCCTCTAAGTTGTGTAAATATTGGAGAGAGTATTTATATAAAGCTCAGTCACATCTTTGTGAGGAAAATTAGGATTCAACACCAGAGAAGTCACAAGTGATATCAAGCAATGCAGTCCTGGGCAAATATGTCCCATTTAAGTGAAAAAAACAAAAATAACTGTGTATGAGGAAAATTCCATCCAACCCACACTACAGTGTAAATGTGACACACCTCTAAAAACAAAGATCCTAGTACTCATACCGCTTCCTGTAAGCAAGTAAAAGTTAAAAAACTAAATCAGTTTCTTCATGATGACTTCGTCAACACCGAGCTATCAGCTGCTCTACTGAAGGCTGTACTTTTGCCCTTTAGACTCACTCGTCTTCCTTTTCTTCTAGTTTGTTTCACTCTGAGAACCTTTTAAGGCACGCCTCCTACCTGTCTTGGCAAATGTGACCTCCAGCTCCCAGCCCACTTGCACCACTGCATGTTGGGATATTGGATTTTCAGTGGAAGGTCTATAAAGAGGTTCCAGTACCTGGGAGAGTTAGATATAAACTTTTGTTATCTCCTGTTTTTTCTCTTAAACCCTCCCACAAAGCCATCAGAAAAACTGAAAAAAGGATAGGTGACTCATAACAGTGCTCATGCCCTTTGAGCTTTTTTTTATAAATATTTTGCAATTTATGTAAACTGTTACTTGGGAATTTAATTAAATACTCCATTATCCCTAAATTAGGTACAAACCAAATGCCTCCAGAAGTCCCCTAAGGACCAAATAAAGTCTACTTGTGTGTAGTTTAATCTCAATATGAATATTTATGTAAAGTCGTTGGAGGTTTTTAGAGATCATTACTGAGCAATAGGGGTGCACCAATTGATCGGCCTCAATTTCCTTGATAATGGAAGATCAGCGATCGGCTGATACCTAGATGTGCAACTGATCTTATTCACTGATCTACCTTTGCAAAGGTCTACAAATCACCCAGTGTCAATTAGAGGTGAGTATTGGCATGAGTGTTGTGATTCGATACATGTCGCGATACTTGGGTCACGATACGATATTATCACGATATTGCAGTATCACTATATATATTGCCATATTTTTCCCAGCTATCAAAAACAAATGATGAGATAAAACATCAAGTGCTGTATATTTTCATCAGAAAATATTGATTAGGTATTATTATCCATGTTGTTTGGGGTTTTCTTCCACTGTGACTTCCTCAAATACAGATTTGGTGCTGCATGCACGGTTAAAGGGCTCCACAGCGCTTTCTGCCAGAGTGGTGGTGCAGAGGTAGCACATTTTCCCATCAATGTTTTATGTAACCATTTTTTTTTTTTAAATCGATACTAAGAAGTGAAAGATCGATATTATATTGGGCAGCCGAATATCACGATATATCGCCAAAACGATTATTTCCCACATACCTAGTGTCAATGCTTTATATTTGAGAGGAGATAATCGAGAAGTTTTCACAGGTATTGATTTGTCTTTCTGTAAGATAAGACTGAAATATTGAAGGTGTCTTTTTACTGTATAATATAACAGCTGACAGTGTCTGTTATAAAATAAAAAAAATCTGTATCAGTCAAAATCATAATCAGCGACAGGTTTTTTAAAGATTTAAAATCAGTGATCGGCCATAAATTTGCAATTGATGCACTCCTACTGAGCCATAAACAGAGATCTGACAGAGCACCATTTAATCCACCATCCCTAAATGAACAGTTTCGACAAAACTGCATTAAAGATGCAGTAACAGGTCCCATATCTCGAGGAGCTGTCCAGACCTTAAGCTCAGGTGGAAGAACCTGATGTCAGGTTCAAGTGGTCATGTGTGCCAGAAGTGATGTAGGGAATGCAGCAAAAGTGGAGTAATGTGCATGGACTAGATGAGAGAGAAAAAAAAATGAACAGCTTAATTGCTATTTTCTCTATGAAACAATGTGGAGGGAGCAGGGGGTGAGATATGACGGATGGAATTGTATGGAATTAAATGATCAACTGTTTCTTGCCCAGACAGCCCTACCAATAGACCTAGTTTTCTATTGGGTTTTTTTTAAAACAGAAATAATTTATAGATCAGTTCTTCTGTTAGTTTTGTATGTCTGCTTCTGCTTCACATTGAACCTGGTTCTGCTAGAGGTTTCTTCCTGTTAAGTTTTTTCTCTCCACTGTCACTGTATGCATGCTCAGTGTGAGAAAGTGCTGAAGACTCAATGGCTGTGTCCGAACGTCCGCCCTAACCCCTCAGTGACTATATCGAGCAGAAACTTTATGGTAAACTCAGTAAATTATCACTTATTCTTCACCCCGTTTGGTCACGTGGCTCCGCCTCCCAGCATGTTTGCCTGCGCCATCTTTATTTGTCGCTGCTGTCACTTCCCGCCAGTGGATTGCTGTCACAACAAATCCTACAATGCTTTGCGAGGAGAGCTCTAGCAAAGCCTTCAGCTATATATTTGCTCATCTACCATCCATGGATGATCACTTATTTTCAAGGTGCATTTTGGTAAATTTCAAGTTCACTACTTTTTCATCCACAGCCAATGAGTCCATGAGATGATCTGCTTTTCTTTAGATAGAAAACTTTGAATTGATCAGACTGAATGATCTGATTTAACCATCTCTGTAAAGTGCCCTAAGGTGAGATATCTAGTCGATTGGCTATATAAACAAACCAAGTTGAATTAAAACTTTATACTGGGTAAACCAGATGTTTCTAGTTTAAATCATATTCCACTGACCAGTCAAAGCACAGACCTTAGTCCAAGGGAGCATGTATGGCAAGACTTAGAAAACATAACGCTCAGAGAGCCTGTCTCTTCAGTGCGATTGAACCTTAAGTTATTTTCCCTCCACTTGCAAGAACTAATTTGTGTTGATCCATCACATGAACCCTAAAATAAAATACAATGGAGAGCTGTAAATACATATGAATACTTTTTCTAAAAAGGCTCTTACACATAAGTGAGAGATTTTGCTTTAAACACCCATGAAAATCAACTATGTGCAAATAGTTCAAACTAATCCTGCAATGTGGCAGTGTTCTAAAGCCCAAAGCCTCTCTTTAGTTTTCAGAAATGCCCTACATTAAGGACCCCCCATCTGACTGCTGTCAAATAACACATTCCACACCAGCTGACAGAAGAGAGACCAGCACACAACAACCAAAATACACAATAGCATTTAACCATGATAAATAATAAAAAAGGTGTAATTGAAATAATTTTTACCTCAGGCTTCACACACTGGCACAGTGAGATGCTAACCCAGAATGAACATTCTGCTCTGAATCAATTAGCCACTCTGTCTCTCTCCCTCTCTGTCCACCCCCACACTCCGTTTCTGTCGTCATCTCAGCCCACAGAACAAGGCACAGCTGGACCCAGAACAATGTGTGAGTGTGAGGACCACTTGAGTCAAACCTGGGTCTATCTTTGGCGGTGACAAGCAGATACCATCTTTTCTGATGTGTGGTCAGAGGATCATTTAAAGTCAGAGGGAAATGTGGTTTTGTTAGCCACTTTTAGATGCAAAAAAAACTCAAGAGTCAGCAGCTGATCAGGCTTTTTTTTCTTCAAACAGAATGAAACGATTCATTTACATTGTATTTTTAAAAACTCCTGTAACATGTGCAAATGTCCAGTAATTTGAAATCAAACTATCAAAAAACAAAAATACATTTCTAAAAACTCTATGAACTTAATCATATAAAAATCATAAAAAAAATCATTCAGATTTTCTTTAAGCGAAGGCAATATAAAATAGTAAACACAGCAACAAATCCTGAGCCCTTTTAACAGAGAAGTCCTTTCATGAGTCAGCAGAGATTCATTCATAGGGCTTTGCTGGTTTACATGAGTCATGGAGCTGTGTCTAAGCTCTCTGCATCACCTTGTTTGTGTCATCGTCTGTATAGATAATGTGGTGTTCCTGCAGTGTTTCTTTGTCTTAAAACAGTGCATGGAGTTTTTTTCTGCTTCTGAGGTTTCTTGCTCGATGTATTTTTTGGGGATGTTTCAGGAGGAGGCACATGAATTGGTTTCCAGGGGATGGGATTGTAGAAGCTGGGTGCTGGGTAAGAACTGTCATAGGGACCTGAGAACAAAACAATAATTTGCAAACATGAAACCAGTATATCTCACAGTTAATATTCATTTCATTGCACATTAAGATCAACAGTTTGCAGTTTATAATTCAGATGGTTTTAGAAAAACATACTTGTCGGGTAGGAATGTGTTTTGGGACTAGCTTTGAGTTTTTCGTTGGCTTTTGTCAGCCAATCCTTAAACTTCTCCTCTGCCTTCCTACGCCGCTCTCTTTCCTGCTCCTCCTTCAGGGCAGCTTCCATCTGTCAGAAAAAAAAAAAAAAAAAAAAAAAAAATATATATATATATATATATATATATATATATTTATTTTTTTCATATTTCTTGCCCCAACCCTTTTTGAAAATAGAAACAGAAAATAAATATGACCTTCTCCTTCTTTTCCTTTTCCATTTTTTCTTGGTTCTTCTTTTGCAGCCAGTCTTTATATTTTTGTTGGGCTTTCAGTTCGATCTCCTTTTGTTTCTCCTGCTGCCTCTGCATCTCCTCTTCCTCTCTCCTTTGTTTAACAAGTTCCTTGCTCCTTTCCTTATAACATATTTTTAAAGAAATACTTTAGGTTTCTTGAAAACTGTATTCTCATATTTTAATATTTTTCTAGATGGGTAATTGTCGATTTGTAAAAAACACAAAAAGATTAGAGGTTTACACAAAGTTGATTAATGTAATTCTGGAAGAATTAATATTTCATATTAATACTCCCAAAGTCTTTTCCATACATATCTAGACATAAAACAATAATTCATATACATTTCATGCTAATGCTTAATCTAATCAAATCCCAATTTGTTCAAGACTGTTAATATTTACAAAATTATTTCATATGTTTATCAGTAAAGCCAGTTATTACTTACTTGCTCTCTTTTAACTTTTAACCATTTGTGGATCTTTTCTTCCATGACCAGCTTCTTCTGTTCTCGTTCCCTTTCCTGTAGTTCTTCCTTTTCTCTGAGTAGCCGTTCCTGCGTTATGTGACATTAGGATCTCAACTCAGTATTTCAGCAGTGGCACTTTGATATAGACTGCTAAACAGAAGACTTGAGAAAATGGTTGTTACTTCTTTTTCTCATTGTTGGCAAACTAGTTAAAGTGCATTACCACCAACTGATAAGGAGTTAAACAAGGAAATAGGAAACAAGACTAGCTTCCAGAAAAAAATAAAAATAATAATAAAAAAAATATATATGTAGTTTTCTGAACTGTATGTTTTAACCCAACATATTGAAATACATATTTAAATTCGTCCTCGTAATTTCTAATCTGTTTTATTTGTCACTCTGCCCATTTCAGATGGTCGTACTCATTTTCCCATCATACTTTCAACCATTTCCCAGTTTAAATCTCTCACTTCAAGGTACTTTTCTGCAGCTTTCACTATTCTGATTTTTTCGGTTTTCTTTGTCGCCTGAGCAGTACATTTGATCACTTATACCATTAAAAGTACAAAATCCTTCTTTTTAACAATCAGATAGTCTTTTGCAATGTTGGGGCATTCCTCCAGTAGTTTGACTAATTAAAACAGTTCCTCTGTCCGGGTAGACAGCTATAATCTTCGTTTGTATGTGGCAAAGATTTGGGAATGAAATGAGAGCGGAGGCCATCAGCTAAGAACAAAGTGGAATATTTTGGTAAGGCTGAAGCAATGGATGTCTATTAATCGCAAAAACGTATGATGTAGCGATGTGGTGATGTGGCATACTGAAGTATAAAATGCTTCTTTACCTGTTTGTCAGGGCCACTTCCTGAGAAGTGAGCCTGGGGGTAAGTATTTATTTTTAGAGGCTCCAATGACTCCCCTGCCAATTCATTTGTTCTCCACCAAGCTGCACTGAACTCTTTTCCCCTCATTCTTGTCGATCTGTATAGCTTTGCCTTGTTGAGCACTGTCTCTGCAGTTTATTAACAAGTCTCCACTATAGAGTATTTTGGCACTTCGGACTTCCCCTACAAGTTTTTTTTTTTTTTTTATCAATTTTGTTAACTGCACCAGATTCCAATCTGCAAAAGAGTCTTTCTGATGAACTAGTTTCAATCTGACTGTAATAATTTAGTTTTCCTGTGGAATTTCCAGATTACTCATCACTTGATCGATCTGAACTAGACTCCCCTTCAATTGATCTTTGCTTTTTCTTATGTTTAGATTCTACTCTCTTCCACTCTTCTTCGTTTTCACTATTTCCTTCTTCCATCCCAAAAGAATCGCTTCCCGTTTCCTTGTTACTCACAACCCAGGACATTTCTCCACAAGCAACTTAGAAACACGAGTCCCGTCATTTCTCATGGTTGTTACTTATAAGAAAAGAATGAACATAAACAGAAAAACCCTCCTGCCTCTTCAGCTTTCTTCTCCTGTCTAAGACGATCCTCCTTAGCTTTGCTCAGCAGCCACGTCTCCCATGCGCTGAGTGAAGGTGAGCCTTCAGGCCACACAGGTTCCCTGAGCTTCAGCTTTGAAGGCGTTCTGGGCAGCTCACATCTATAAATGTTACAAAAAGGTGACACTTGATCTAAAATAAACAAAAACACCAAATGTGTGTTTGAGAGGAAGCAGCACCTGTCTGGTGATGCACACAGCCTCGAATCCTCGCTGTGTCTGGGTGAAGTCTGTTGAGATGGGATAGATCCCAGCTCTTCTTCATCGCTGTCGAAGCTGTCATGATAGATGGGAGAAAGCAGCGAGAATGTGTCCTCATCGTCAGACACGACGCCATTATCCAAACCTTTGGCTGGGAGGTAGCTTTTATCTTGGCTACTCTTGACGGGAGTCGAGCTGAAGCCCTCCGAGGCAGAGGCAGGAAACTTCGGCATCCTTCCTTCCGCCATCACCAGCCTTTTGGGGGTTAATTACCCCCAAAAAAGAAATAATAATAATACGTTTAACACTTTCATAATCAACACTTGGTGGGTTAATCACTAATAACGTCAAAAGAAACATAACAATTATATCTTAACATTCTATGCTTTTGTTTACATCAGATCAGCTAGCAATTAGCAACACTAAGCTAGCCAGCTAACTTTAGCGTTAGCATAAGTTATTTCTAACGGGCAAAATAGTTAAATCGTTGAGTATTGTATCTGCATATGACAACACAACCAAACAAATATGAAAACAAACTTACCGTTGCGATAGAGGTAGGAATGTTTCTTGTTTGCAGCTCTCTTTCTCCAGCTGAGGTGAAACAGTTTTGGCTACAGCTACTTTCTCCCATGATGCACCGCGCCCCCAAGCTCTCAAGGACGCTCTGAGTTGCCATAGAGACGATGATGCTTTACACTTGTCGCACACAACTGAAACCTGTAAAATAACGAAACTATTTATAAAAGCGCGCTTTTATTCTTTACTATCTTACTGAATTTTGGGACATAATAACCTAATTTAATAGTTCTAAATCAACTAAAACATCAAATATACGTCCTGTTTCATGTTTTTTGCTAAATGTACTCTTGCTGCAGTTTGCATCAGTCTTTTGAACTTACAATCTGGTTCAATATTTTTTTGCAACTCATTTCAGGAAATAAAACTCATGTTACCTTAGACTCACTAATCAGAGTATTAATGCTTTGGGTCATTCTTTTTTTTTTTTTTTATTTTTTTTTTTTTTGCAGGTTGACAATTATGACTTACAGGTAATTAAAATACAGAATCCGGTATCTTAGAGGACAATATTGTGAACAAAATTAAACAAAACTCAAAAATCACCTGCTCTTTATTATCTCTAAGCCACAATTACCAAAATTAAAAGCCATAAATGATTAAAATATTCTACATTATGTGTAATTATTTATGCACATACAGTTAATGAATGTCACAATTGGAGAGGTGTGAAAACAAATGCTGAACTTTTAAGGTTTGATGTAGCTGAGAATCTGGAAACCATATCCAGAAAAATTGATTTTATACCCACAATTTGCAATAAATTAGGATACAATAAATTGCTTTGAAATTTTTTGTATGTGTAATTTTAAAGGTAATTTTGAGTATAAATTATATGCATTAGATCTTAAGCATCGGAGTTTTTTTTTTTTTTTTTTTTGCAGTAATTTTTTTAATTACTTGAGTAAATATTTCACATAATTGTCATTAAATTTGATCAAATATAAGAAGATCAGAAGATCAAACATAAGCTGGAACTCCTTGTTTTACTACCAAGTAGGACATTTCATTGTAACCCAAAATAATTTTCACAATTTGAAACCTACAATATTTAACATAAATATGATACTTTTCATTTTAATCTTTGTTATCCTTTCTATTTTTTTATTTGTTTTATTTCTCCCTGTATTTGTGTTTATTTACAGAAAGACTTGTGGAGAACATTTCGAGCTGACTCTTTAAATGCGTAGTTCTCAGGGTTGTACTTCCAAAGTAATATTAATAGGGAGATTTTGCACAATAAACTATCATATTTAAGTTTTTAACTATATTTTTGAAGTATTTTGGCATTCAATAATGTTAACTTTTATTTTCCCCAAAGACTCTCAGCCTAATCTAACTTTACATTACACTTTTCAAAAATACCATGGTTAAATTATTTATTTTTTGATGATTTATTACGTGATTGGTTTAAAGCTACAGTAGAATTTTTCAAAAATAACAGTTTTAGGTCTGGTCATTTGTTTTCAGGCTCATCAGTTTACTGGAATAAAATGCTTTTCCTCATAGATTTAGATATAGTTGTAGTTAAGCTGCCCTCAATATCACTCCAGTCTAACAATATGAGTCTAATTACCAGCAGTTGACTCTAAATTAGCTCGCTCTTTGAGGGACAATTTTAACAGGTAGATGTGACATTCTGAGTGGGTTTGCAACAATACACAGCACAGGTTCATTTACTGTTGCAGTTCTTTGCTCAAGCTTAATTTCTTTTTTTTTAAGCATTCCAACAGATATTAAAACAATAACCGAAAGTGGTCCAGGATCTTTGAAAAGTTAAAATTCAGCATTAGCTATAAGCAATGTGTCGGTAGATGACAATAAACAAGAGAGATTAGCTTTTTGGTTCAATGTGGATAAAGTTTTCTTTGGATAAAGCAATTAAACATGATTTTTTGTTTTTTCTTTTTTTCTCATAACTGTTAGGTGTAACATTCAAGTTACAAAGTTTTGACTTTATTAAAGTAATGGAAATTAAACAATTAAATTTAAATTAAACAAACATGATGTGTGAAATCTAATTAAACATGTTTGCCACATCATGGACAACTGATGGGACATAGGTTATTGTAAAATTTTTATTTTAAACAAGAGGGGGATATTGTTTTGTTTGTGAGCCTAGAAAAATCTGGAAGATCTTCTCTAAATGGCTTCCCATCCATCACTCCTTGACATGATCTTGCACTGTGTGTCAGATTCCCATAAGGTAAGCACAGTTCTGAGTAAGATGATAACAGGAACAGCAGTGACCAACAGAGACTGAATGTTTCTCATTTATCTATATTTCAGCTCAGGAGTCACACCAGGATGCAGGATTCCAGCGTTGCTCTCTGATGGCTTTGCTTCATAAGAACATGAGTTCTCATTAACCTCCAGACTTTCGCCAACTGAGCAGCAGGGGATTCACCTCCCAGTTCCAGTGGAATGGTTGCAACAGAGCTGAAAAGAGTAGCGGCCGGTGGAGGAAGAGAGCAGCGTTTCTTCCGGACACGAAGAACACAGAAGAAGTCTCACAAGAAGCTTCAAGTTGTCATCTGTGTGCTGCTGGTGGAGCTGTGTGAAAGGTTTACATTCTTTGGGATTGTGTGTAACATGATTCTGTTCTGCACCGTGAAGCTTGGCTATGACAACAACCTGGCTGCAACCATCAACCTGTGTTTCATAGGAGCCAGCACTCTGACCCCTGTTTTTGTTGGCTGGGTTGCAGAAACCTGCTTAGGAAGGACTAAGGTTCTTTACTTGTGTGCTTTTCTTCACTTCTTTGGTAAGCTATAGTGGAAAAGCAAGTACTTTTTATCAGTAGATAGGTATTATGATAAAAAAAAAAACAGGAATTTTTTATTTATTTTAATGTCTTAAATCCTAATTTCTGTAAACATTTTAAAACCACTTTATTTGATTTGTTCAGATATACAAAAGTATGTATGCATTTGAATTCAATTTCTCAATGTTCCCAAATTAAAACACTCTCAATAACTTTATTTTTAAGTTAAAATAAAGCAGATAGTAAATCTTTTAAAATGTGCTCTCTGTTAATAGCTCACCTGGTTTTCTGAAAGTCTGTCTTCAATTTGTTCAAAAAGAACTTTAGCCTTTCTTTCCACCCTTTTTTGGTCAAGTTCTCACTACCTGATTACAGCTCCATATTACACTTTAAGTTATTGCTAATCTTTTGTTTGTTGTTGACTTGACATCTTGTCCAGACTTTTTTTCCAGACTTAGGAATGTGGGCACGTTTAGGTGAGTAGCTTTAAAAAAAATATTTCAGGTTTATTAAAATGAAGGAATTTCAGCAAGTCGTTCACCAAGTGAATACCCTTATACGATTATATTATATTCCTGTTTTTGCTTCTACTATTTTGTTTCTATAAATCAAAATAAGAAATTAGTTAATTTACAGACGGTAAAAATCTAATTGTTTTTAACTCTGACAGTAACAAATACAAAGTTGAAGTATGGATTAACACAACACTGATTCATCCCTCGGGATTTAAGCCTTCAAGTGAAAAATTTATTTATTTATTTTTACTTGATTTATAACTAATAATTCCTTCTGTAGTGGTTGGTTACAAGAAAAGCTGTAGATACCTAAAGAATAAACCTTTAAAAGCTATTTAAAAGGTCCAAATGGCTATTAATGAATACCACTAAATGATGGTCAAAAAGTCTCTCTCTTTGACAGCAAACCATAAGTAAACAATGAAGAGATGCGACCCAGAGATTTTGAGCAGAGCTAAAGTTGTGGTGTTCCTGATAGGCACAGCCATGCTGCCAGTGGTTGCCTTTCCATTTGAGGATTTCTACATTGATACTCATCACATGACCCACAAGCTGGACCCCATGGAGCAGCAGATCTTTTTTTACATGGGCCTCCTGGCCGTCGCACTGGGCATCGGTGGCATCAGGGCCATCCTCTGTCCGATGGGGGCCTACAGCCTGCAGAGCTACAACCAGCACCAGCTCCTGTCGTTCTTCAACTGGTGGGTAAAGCTACTTTCTGAACCTCAAAGCAGAAAGCACCACCTTTAAATTGACACATCATTCAAAATGTCTTACAGGGAAAACTAGACTAATTATTTGTGTACAACTTGTTGGAAGTACATGAAATTAATTGCTTTATTTTCATTGTGTTTAGGTTCTACTGGTTGGTGAATCTCAGTTCCACTGTTGTGTTCTTAGGCATCGCTTACATCCAGCAGTCTGTGGCCCAAAACCTGGGCTTCCTCATCCCTTTCACCTCTGTTCTGCTAGCACTCATCGCCATCCACATGATGCGCAATAAACTCACCTACAAACCCAAGAGAGGTACAACTGCAGCCAAATGTAATGGCATTCCTAGCGAAAACATCAAGAAACTAAAATACATTAATCTTTTAATAAATTAGTATAATCTCACTGAAAATTCTGAAGAAATCCTTCAGAACATTTATGTTAACAAACACTGACACAGTGACATAACTGTTGTTACCCCTTCAAACCCCTTCAAAATGAAATTACCATTAACAATAATTTACATTACTGTGACCCTTTATCAGATTATTTAGCATTTTCTTTATTTTCTAATTAGTAATACCAAGTTCAGTTCTTTGGTGCATAAATTTAGATTAAATCGAACAGAATAAACTTTTATTGTTGACCAAGAAGAAGCTGATAAATGATAAAAAAAAAAAACAATAAAAACATGAGAACATAAATACAGATAAAAAGGGTCAAGTTAAATAAAGAGCTAGAGCAGTTCATGTTGTATGTATGGATGCTTTACTTTGTTGAATTCAAAAGAAAGTTTGGGATGAAGGATCCTTTTAGAGAACCTCTAGTCAGAGCAACCCAGCAGTTCCAATGAGACTTCAGAGGCTCAAACTGTCAAGACAAAAGATGAGAGATATCTGCTAAAATTCTATGAGTTTTCCTCTCTCCTCATTATAAATGTGGGTCGGGTTCTTCTGGAGTTTCCCTAAAATGTTACCAGCCATTTTCACAACTTTGTTTAACTTTGGCTGTGTCCGAGCATCCGCCCTAACCCCTAGATCCCTAAATCACTATATAGAGCGGGGACTATGTAAAAGTGGATTTTATATATATATATATATATACGGTATATATATATATATCTGCTCATCTAGTGACCATGGATGATCACTACTTTTCAAGGTGCATTTTTAAGGTGCATTGTGAGTCCATTACTTTTTTCTCCACTAGATGTTCAGAAACTCATTCAAAATGGCGTAACCACTATGCAGTGCCCTATATAGTGATTAGGGTGGATTTTGGACACAGACTTTGTCTTGTATTTGCAACTCAGGTGACCAAACCACGTATAGAGGTGAAATGTTAAAACCCTCTCAGTATGAGCAGAATACACAAACTTTAAAGTCTTTGGACTGACACCAAGACAGCTTAATCTTCTAACACGACTGAGTCACTGTGAACATTTCTCTGAATTTGCAGAGAAACTCAAGTGACTTTCATGGACTGCACCCAGATATTTCAAAGTCTCCCCCAGTTTTAACGCGCTGCCCATCAATTTGAACCAGGCCTATTGCGGGTTTTGGCTTTGTGTAAACAAGAGGCTCCTTTGTTTCAGACACATTCATTTCTAGTTGGCTATGAAGAAACCACTTTTTGAAAGCTTTGGTATGGGCAAAGAGGAGGCCTCACCAGGGGCCAGGTTACAAAGACTAACTTCTATCAGCCACTGACTAATTGGCTAGAAAGGGACCTTCTAGTGTCTTGCAACCACAAACTAATATCCTAAGCTCATTTTTGGAAATCTTTATCAAAGAGTGTTATTTTGGTCATACCAAGTCTCTATAACAAGTGCTAAATTCCATCTAGATGTCAATCACTTTGTTGGGAGTGATACTAGGAAAAGCATTTTTTGCACTTTGCTCAGCTGAGGCTAATACTGAACTTTTCAGCTACAAAACTAAGCTTCATTGTTATTTTGATATAAAGGTTGAATATGTGGAAAGTACCCATCCACAATGTGATGCTGCTGGCCTGATCCTCCTTTAAAGCCGTGTTAGAGGGCAGGACATTATGAAAGATATGAAAAAACACTGATGGGGTGTACCTGTAAAATTAAGTTAGGTCTTTCACCTTAAATATTTGGTAATGGAACATTTCACATAAACTCTAATCATCTTATCCTGACTGTTCTTCTCAGTGCTCAGATCTAAACCTTAAAAGAATTTAGGTTGACTACAGAAGGGCCCAGAGCCCTAGAGAATCAAGAGAGACTGTGCAAAGTGGGATTATCAATGATCTCTTTCTCTGTCTGTTCCAACACAGAAAACTTGGTGCACTCTCATCTTACCAAATCAATTAAATGTTGAACTTTTCAAAAAAGACTTTTGAGATATAACAGGGTCAAAGAATGTGAAGTATGTAATATCAACAAGGTCTAAAAGAGCATATGTAGGAACAAATGACACATAAAAAGGTTTATGTGTGCTGGTCTTACCTCCCGTTGGGTCTGCTTTCAGGTGGATCCTTACTGACCACACTCGGAGTTTTCCTGAACTCTTTCAAATTGTGCTGCCTCCGTCATCACCACCTGAGTGGACATGTGGTGTCCTGGCTGGACCGGGCCAAGGAGAACAATGGCGGGCGTTACAGCGAGACGCATGTAGAAAACGTCAAGGTCTTGGTGAAACTCTTCCCTCTCTATGGGCTTCAGCTGCTGTATAGAGTCTGCATCACACAGGCATGACGAACAGATTGAGAACTTTTAATACTGTTTTTGTAAAACCAAAGAGGTTGAGCAGGTGTTTTTCCACAGATTCCCTCAGGTTACTACATACAGACAATGAACTCCAACCTCCACCTCAATGACCTTCTGTTGCCCATTGGTGCCATGAATGTCATCAGCATCCTACCTCTGCTGTTCTTAGCCCCAGTGATGGAGTTTGTGGCCACCTACTTCCTCTCCCTGGAGAGAACTCCGCCTGCACCTGCACGAGTCATAAGTAAGTCTCACTCCCTCACACTCTGAGTAATCTGTAACAAATGATCTTACATCTTTCTTCTCGCTCATCTTGCAACCACATCCCTCATCTGCAGCCCCCTTATCCCATTGTACCACCCTCTTCCAGCTTTGGGCCATGCATGTGCTGCTATGTCTGTCCTGGTGGCAGGTTTGGTGGAGATTCACAGGAAGGCCTACCCACTGGTGGAGCAGACCCTGTCCGGAAAGGTCCTGCATGTGTCATCCATGCCTTGTTTCCAGCTGGCACCTCAGTACATCCTTCTCGGTGTAGCTGAGGCCCTTGTCACTCCTGCATGTGAGCAAAAAGTCTTCAAGTTCAATTAAGGACTTGAGATCTATCGGATGAAGCAGAAATGTGACAGTCTCTTGTTCTTTGACAGGTTGCCTTATATCCTTCCAGCTGATTCCGAGCCACATCAGGGGGATCTCGTTGCACTTTCTCACTTTATCCTATGGAGGGGGCTGTTTACTCAGTGCTTTCATCATTCAGCTGGTGTATTTTTGCTCTGGAGGTACAAATAAAAACTACCTAAGTCCATCTTCATAATGTAACTAAAAATTGTGTGTTTCAATTTAGAAAGTAGAGCTTATTCAATGATCATTACATACTGTGTGATTTATTTGAGTTAATCTAATTGATTATGACTTACAACTAATTAGATCTGAAAACTTGACAGCAGACTGTCAAAAAAATCTAAAGAGAGTTAGTGTTCACAGACTGCTGTATACAAGCAGATTAATTAAAAAAGGTATGAGAAAGGAAAAAGTGTTGCTATGTTTTCTGAAACTGAAAGCAGATTTAAGAGACGATGAATCCAAATTGCTTTGGATCTCGGTCACTATGACACATTGAGCACGGTATCACTTGCCTGACCTTATCCCATTGTGAACTTATGGTGTATTGTAAGAAGAAAATCAGTGACACCACAAACAGTAATGCAGATAAGCTAAAAGGCTTCGTAAACACCTCAGCAAAGCCAGAGGATAATTACCTCTATGCCACACTGCATTAATGTAGTACTCCAAGGGGGTTTTTGATCTTTGTTATAAGAATCAGTTATTTGTAAAACACGTAATCAAAGGAAAAGGAGGCAATATAATCATTGAAAGAGAATTTAGTTTATATGAATTTTATTTTTTTAAGTTTAATTGAAGAAAAATAAGCTCTTTTAATCATGTTTTTTCTCTGACACCAATTCATGAGACAAAAATGTTTCAATAACAATGCAGGAAACTTCTACCCTAACTCTCTGCATGAAGGAAACCTGGAGAAATTCTTCTTCCTTCTGGCTTCATTGATGACGATAAATACTTTCCTGTTCTGGAGAATATCATATAGGTACAGTATTATCTCTAGAATATATAATGCAATAACGTTGTAGTTATGTCATCCTGTGTGAAGGAAAATCATAGCAGTATGAGATGTTCTAAAAGTGTTTCCTTATGTTGCTGTTTAGGTACATGGATCTGAGTGTTCAGGGTAAACCCATGAGCAGCAGCTCTCTGTCTGAGAAGCTGCTGCATTATAAGGCCACACTGCGCTTCTATGATACCATTGAACATTTCTCCACCGATTCTGTTCTATGAACGCTTTTGCTGAAACCCTATTAGTGGCGCTGGCGCTGCACTTTTGTGCCTCAGTAATGCATAAAATGTTATGTTGTGGAACACAAACTGTACAAGTCCTCATGTCTGTAAATATTTATGATTTTTTTTTTACTGAAATTAACCATTTTAATTAAATGGTTGTGATGAAAGACTGTTTCAGTTGAATTTTACAATCAATGTGAAAAGGTAAACTAATATAGACATATTACAATAGAATACGAAATGTGTGATAATACAAAGATATGCTTTATTCAAGTTTAAAAATGTGAATCAACAAACATTGTTCAGACATCAGAATAAATCTTAAAACATTTCTAAGTAGGCGTGTACAGGAATAAGAAACAATCATTTCAATGCAATAATAAGCTGACTGCAAAAACTTCAATATCTAAAGCTAAAAGGAAGCATGAAGTCTGTAATCATTACATCTAAAGTCAGTAAAGCATTTCCACTCTTGTGATTTAACAAAGATTTTAACACCAAAGTGTGTGCTGTCTGTGCATATATATATCAATAAAACAAAGTAAAAAAAATACTTCACTGAGCATGTCTTGTCATTTTTGGCATATGAAAATATGTGCAATATTTTTGCATTGATTTTATTCCCATTGCTTTCTTAGTTCAAAATCCCATGATAAATAGCCATAGATTTTTTTCATTTTTATTTCTCAATTGCAAAGAAGATGATATCTTTTTAATAATCAAAAGGGAGGAACTGTGGTGGGGAAAATTAATTTCCTTTTACATATATATATATATATAGATATATATAGATTTATGATTTCTGACTTATTCATTGGGCCTAAGAGCTCCAAGACCACAACATGGAGGGTATGGCCATAATGTGAAGCAGTTCTCAAAACATTTAGACTCTTTCTCCATCTGTCTGTCTTTTTGCTTTGGGTAGAGAGGTGTGGAGACCCTCACAGCTTTTCTGCTGGGTTAATTGGGGAGAAAAATCTCTGTCCAGTCAGAACAGGCCTGAATACCATGGCCTGTTCTGACTGGACAGACTGAATGAAATCCATCAATCTCTGTTTATCTAACTGGAGGGAATAGTTGAATACAATTTTCCCAAGATAGTTCTCTGTTAAAAACAGAAAACAGTAAAAAAAAAAAAAAAGTTTAGAGGGTGCATATTTTGAGAAATGCCCCTAAATCTACTGTAAATCCAGGGTATAGCGGTTCAGTAAAGGTTGTCTGGACTTGGTGCAACAGGCTGAGGCTATCAGAGGATGAAACGCTGTAGAAGCTCAGTTTTCCTTCAGCATACTGGAGGTGAACTCCGACTCTGCGAGACTGAGCTGGAGGAATAAGACTTTTGTGAAGATTGTTGTGCCAAAAAGTACAACTGGAAGGATAGCAGATAATTTTCCAAGACAGCTTGTTGTGGCCAAAGCAGCAGCCGTTGTCATTTCCTTTCCTTTGGATGCCTTTATATGACACAGCAACCTCGATGACGCCACCGTCCCACTCCACCTCCCAGTAGTGGTTTCCTTTAAGGCCTTTTTTGCACATCGATTGGTAAAACGTAGTGAATCTGTCAGGGTGATCAGGATGAGCTTGGCCTGTTATTCCCCACGATAGTTCTCTCTTGGTGTTTGTCATGTAGAGACATGCATGCACTGTGTTAGGATCCAGCTCAGGGGCAAGATCTGCAGAAGATAATAAATTAATTCATTCAGATATTCACATTCTACGCATGTTTGGAAGAATATTCATGTTGCGCTACTCACATGTACGCATGCACAACATGTCTTGTCTTGATCTTAAACCAATATAAGGCCTCCTGGGAACACTCAACACTGAAAAGAAAAACAAAAATTCTCCAATTTAATAGGTACAATGGGGGTCCTCTTCCTTTTACAAGTCAGGTAAGAACTGTTGAGAATAAAGTCAAACAGTCAATGAAACTAGCTGAAAACAGTTTCAATATAATCTTGTCAGTGGTCATAAATAATGGCAGAAATCAGCTCAACAACGTGCCCTTTGGCATCGTTTGCTCGCCTACATGCTTTTGAAAATGAGCTTTTTGTTGACAGTTTGACTTTATTGTCAACATCTCAACTTGACTGACTTGTTGAGGAAGAAGGGAGAAAATTCCTCGCCCTAATTTATTTTTTCCTTATTGTGGCCCAAATACTTTCTCATAAAAAATGTATGTAGATCTCATGAAAATTATAGCAATATACTGAGCTCACTTGTGTTATCTTTTAAATGTCCAAATAACTGGGCATTCTCCTTGTCACACATGCGTTTCATTTGGTCCTTTTTTGCAGAAACAAACTCTGCCAGAGACACTGGTCCTTTATTGGCACATGAAATCACAGGGAGGCCACCCAGGGCCTGAAAATCCTGCAGGAGACAAAGAAATACATAATCTGGACATTCACATAAAAAAGAAAATTAAGATGAAAAAAGTGAATAAAACTAATAAATCACCTGAAGAAATTGAATGGGTTCATCTGTTTGTGCAAGTTGACGGAGATTATGGCCCATTCCCTTCAGTTTGTGGACTTCACGTTCCAGTTGTCCAATGTGATTTACAGTCCAATCCACTCCAGTTTTCTCTACCGCTTTAACTTCTTCTCTTACTTCGACACATTTCCTCTCCAGATAGTGGACATACAAACGAATATGTTCGGTGCACTGTTGCTCAAAGTTATCGCTCACCTCCCAAAAAGCATCCTTGTGGAAAACAAACCATTAAGAGCTATCATGAGCTGCATCACATGTTTCTCCTTCACATTTAGACAGTCAGTTACAGCAGTCTCCAACTACTCACGTTATACGTCAAACATTATTAAAAATCAATGAAATATTGAAAAAACTATATGTTTCCCATTTAAGTGAGGTTAGGTCCAATAATCTCGAATAAATGTTCCTGAATCAATAATATAAATAAAGGATGCATACATTCAAAGAGCTGTTTACATTAAAGTCTAAAAAGACCAGGAAGATCTCTAAGTATTCCATAGGATCTACAATTATTTGAAATAATCGTATGTTTTATTTAAAAGATTGAACGTAGCTAGTAATCCCAAACTTAACAGGTGAATCAGATTTATCACACAGTAAATCTACTAATAGCTATTTACCATAGAAAAATGAGAAAAGAAAATGTTTCAAAAATATTTTTTGACATCTTGTAGATTTCTATGAAGCCAAACGGTATTAGCTTATTGCCTAATTCTGATTTTTAATCCAGACATTTAACCCACAAAGGTAGATATAGTTCAGACCTTTCCATCCCAAGTATATGTGCTGCATTACAACACTTACTTGAATAGATTTAGCTGCTTCCTTCAGCTGTCCTATTTCATGCTGGCAAAAAAGAGTTCTAGTTGCTATCTCGTCTCTGGTCTTTTTCAGTTGCTCCTGTTAAAGCAGAAAGTCATCAACTTTTAAGAAACTGAGATTAAAAAACAGTTAAACATAAAATCCCAACTTTGGGTTTCTGTTTAACTAGATTACCTGCTTCCAGTTAACTTCTGTTGTGACTTCCACAATGTCATGATTCTTGTGCTGCACCACACAAAGTGGACACAACAGCTGCTCATCCGTGCGACAGTAAATTTCAAATCGTCTGTCATGACGAGAGCAGATGCTTTCTTTGATTCTTGCAGAGGCCTGGATCAATTTGTGCTTCATCAGAACAGGTACCTGGAGATGAGGCTGCAGATGTGTCTCACAGAAAGAGGCTAAACACATGAGGCAATACATTTGAGCTTTCCTTTTAATCTCAGAGCAAGAATCACATGGTACATCCCCAGGTGATAAAGCATCCTGTGGGTCAGCTGCAGCACTTTGTTTGCTCTTCTTCTTGTGCTCATCCAACAGGTTAGCCAAGACTGTGTTCCTCTGGAGAACAGGCTTTGGGCTAAAGGTTGTCCGGCACTGAGGGCAGCTGTATGTTCCTTCAGTGTTAGGTCCCGAATCCCAGAAAGTGTTTATACATTCCATGCAGTAGCTGTGTCCACAGGCTGTAGTCACAGGTTGATCCAGTAACTGTAGACAAATGGAGCAATCCAAGAGGTCAGCACTGTGAGCCATTTTCCCCCGCTCAAACTTATACTTTCACTTTCCTTCATCTTCTTCTTGTGTTTTTTGGTGGTTGGCAAAAAAAATAAGTTGTGCATTACCACCAAAGACTGGTATGGAGTGTGGCAAGTGGTGGATTAATCTATATATTACCTAAAATATAATCAAATTCTATTAAACAATTTGGCCATTTTTCTTTTAATATTAGAAAAGATTGATTCTGTTTGCTTCCTAAATTTCTTTGCAATATATCTCTTATATTAAATGTTTCCAGATGAATTTCTAATAGCATATCTGGTCTACGGTCTGAATGATTGTGTTTTAAACTCGTCAATACAGAGCTTTAATCTGAGCAAATTATAATGCTTAGAATGTTTAATCTGAGCAAATTATAAGGTTTAATTTCTTCCACCCACTGAACTGCCAACAAATCTGTCAAAAGTTATCCTGTGTAAACAGATAAAACTATCAGGGATTTTTTTTTCCAATCTTTACTTTAAACTCTGGTACTAATACTGCTACTCCTATTTTTTCATTTGTTTGATGCATCTGTATATATCTGAATGAATTGATAATAACTGTTTGTATAATCTTGAACCAAATTAGACTCTAAAAACAAATTTCTTTCCTATTTCTTTTCCAATAAATTCAAAATCCATGATGGTGTAACAGCTAATGGTATTAATTGACTTATTTCTATATTTTGCATCTGAAATTCCCCTGTCTTCCTTCCAGTAGTCCATTCAAAACATTTCATATATATTTTTTTTCCTTTTTCCAGTATGGTTTTAAAATGTCTTGTGTTGGATGATCCAGGTAATAGCTTAGTAGATTTAACGTTAGAGTAATAGGATGATTACTTTATGGTTTTGAACAATTTCAATTCAATTCAGTTCATTTTATTTATATAGCGCCCATTCACAACACATGTCATCTCAAGGCACTTTACAGTACAGCAGATCATAGATTCAAATTTATTCAAAGTTTTCTATCTAAGGAAAACCAGTTGATTGCATCGACTCATAGACTCGGATGCAATCCCTCACACTGTAGCGAGACTGGTGAGAAAAAAAATCCCTTTTAACAGGAAGAAACCTCCAGCAGAACCAGACTCAGTGTGAGCGGCCAACAATCCTTCCCTGTTTTAGCTGTTGGTAGGATGACTGACTCGTTCCACCTCTGTGGCAGCTCCCCTTCCTCCAAGACTTTAGAGATCTAAAATAACATCTTTAGATGTTTCACTTAAATTATTTATCATGGTGTACCAGCTCTGATATTTACCAGGTGCTGTATTTTTTGTTTTCTTTAGCACAGAATATAATTCAGCTTTTGTAAACGGTTCTTTTATTAAATTATTTCTATCTTCATTCATTTGTAGCAAGTCTTTGTATTTCAGTTTGGTGGTTTCTCTCCCCTTTCTTTCCCTCATCACTAATGTTATTTGAACTATAAATTAAACTGAATGTTTTAGATAATATTTCAGCTTTTTCTTTATTTATCTTTTATTATACTTGTTTTATCTATAATTAATACTGGATATCTATATTCCTTTTTAACACTGTTCATTCTTTTAATCACATTCCACACTATACATTTTTGTATCTCTCCCTTTCATATTACAAAAATTTTATTTGTTTTGGGCAAATCTGTAATATCATTACCAGAATGGACTTGAAGTGTTATTTACCTATTGGCCAGCTGTTTCAGATTGGGACCTTTTTCATTACAATTAAAAGGAGATGGTCGCTGTTTCGTAGTGGTGCAAAAGGTTCATAATGTCAACGGTTTCTTATCAGCTTAAATGTTTAGCTTAGGTTTCCAAAAGTAATAAAGAATATATGTGATACACCATAAAGGGATTTGAATCATTACTTATTTATATAGTCAAGAAAAAAAAAAAGAAAAAATGTTTAAGAGTATAAGTCACTACACAAATTATTAGTGTAATATATATGTGTCTTTTTTCTACTAAAATTGACTGAAATACCATGTTAAATAAAAAAAGACTGAAAAGAAACCAAAATGCCGAGTGTTTAACCAGGAAGTCTGAGGTGAGTAATCCAAAAATGCTTTTACCCTCTTCTTCAAGTCATTTTAAATCATTCAAATTGAATTAGATTAGCACAATTTTTTCTATAATCATGTGCCCAAAATGATGTTAATCTAAAAAGTAAATATCTAAGCGTGGCTTTCTTGGTTCTCCAGTGAACATGTTCCAAAGACCAGTTAAACATAAGCACTTGACTGTGGCTCCTAGATTTAATTTGCTGAACAAGAGTTGTCTGTTCTTATTAAGGTAAGACAAAGAATGACAAACAACAATATTTTAAACATAAAATAAGGGTTGCACAAAATCAGAAGTTTATTAAAAGTGAACAAATATCAGAATCCTCAGTTAATTTTTACATCCATCCATCTTTGAATGCCCCCATTTAATAACTTGACAAAAATGTACATCATTTCAGTTTATTTCAGTCAATGGCTAAATATCATATGCTTATTTTTGCTGTATGTTTTCTGGGTTGAAAACAAATTGGACTTTATTTAAACAAGCTGCAGTTCCATTCTCCTTTTCATTTTTTCTTTTTTTTACTGCTGCTTTACTATCTTTATTGATGATCCCCTGGAAACCATAAAACCAGGGTACAGAGGCTGAGAGAAAGCGGTGTGAACTTCATGGAGGAGCATCAGTTCTCCAGAGCTAGAAACACTGTAAAAAGATAGGATGCCAGCTTTGTGGTTTAGATACACTCCAACTGTACCAAAGCAGCGGTTCTGGATTTTGATTTTGTTTTCGTTGTGCCAAAACATGCATCCAGAATTGGAGAGAGAAACACTCCAGGACTTGTCATTGAATCCAAAGCAGCTTTCTTCCATGTTTGGTCCTTTATAGCACACAGCAATCTCGATTCTTGGCCCCTTCCACTCAACTTCCCAGTAGCAAACACCAGACAAACCTTCTGAGCACAACACTTGATCATATTTGGTAAACCTCTCCGGGTGGTACTGGTACTTCTGGGCTTTCTTGGTCCAAGTAACCTTGGTGTTTCCCTCAGAGACCAACAGGTTCTCAAAAGCTGTGTTGGGATCCAAACTCAAGCTACAGGAATCTTAAACGTAAAAAAAAAAAAAAATGTAAAGCATTTGCTATTCAATATAAATCAACTAAAACAATTTATGAATGTTAGGTAAACAACTTACACATCCACAATTCCTGTCTTGTCTTTGGCTCTGCAACAGTTTCAACTGAAAACAGGGAAAATGTACTGTTATCCTTTTCACAAACCCCTTAATATCACACAACCACACACCTACATATAGAAATCTTTTTGTGTGTTTTTTCTTTTCTTACAGGTCTCTGATATCTCCTTTAAAGTGGAAGCCAAAGAATCAGTTTTCTCTTTAAAGTTTGATATAGCCTTCGTAACAAAGTCAAAGGGTTTCTCTAGTTGAAGATTGAAGCTGAGGCTCGGCTCGGGTTCTGCACTGTCCAAAACAGACTTGCTTTGCTGAAAAACATAAAAGCAAAACACAATATCATAATAAGATTTACAAATGTGTCCCTATCCTTGGAATGTCGGACATTTTATTACACTACAATGCAAAAGCTTTTACATTTTGAGGCACCTCATTAGACAACAGACAGACAGGAAATGGGGTGGAGAGAGAACAAGAATGACATGCAGAATAGATCTCTAGGTCAGGATTCAAACCTGGAGTGACTATTGGTGCAACTGCCACACCCATACCCACAAATATTAAATCATTTTCTGTATGTAATTCTCCAGCACAAATAATCCCCACACTGTAAAAGAAAAGACGGAAATAGGACACTGCATTTTAAGATCTTTGCAAATAAAGATCTAAAACACATCATTTTCATATATGATTAGTCCTCTTTCCTCTTATAACAGAACATTACAATTCAATTTAATTTGATTTATAAATTCAAATTAGTTTAATTTTAATTGAATGGCTTATTTCAATTCATAAATCTAGTGCAAATTTAAAACACATCTAATCTCAAGACGCTTTACAGGGACAATTCAACCAGATCATCTAGTTAGATTGGTTAAAACTCTTCTAAGAAAAATCAGCCAATTGCATCAAGTCATTGACTTTGCAGGATACACTCCTCTTGGATGTGCATGTGGCAACAGTGGACATTCCTTTATATTGTGTTTCGATCACAGTTATCATGCAAGTGGTGACAGTTGAGAGGAAAAACTACTTTTTAACAGGAATAAAACTCCAACAGAAAAAGGCTCAGTTTGAGCGGACTTTACTAAGGCCGACTGATAGATACAAGAGGAACATAGAAGCACTGATCCATGAAGAATTTGTATGTCAGCAATGGTAGTGGTAAACTAGCTCCATGCAACTTATTTTCTTTAGAAGCAAGAGCAACTTCTGGAAAGGCTGAGCATGCAAGAGTTTGCACCAGGACTCTTTTAACACAAACCAAGAGTGTGAGGAACTGCTCCATATGCAGCCTCTAAATACAAATGCACATCAGATTTTACACTTCTATTTCATGACTGAAATTTACATTTTCCTTCAACTTATTAATGGAACCCTTTGTCTCGGTATATCACATTAAAAACGTCCAGAAAAACACTGATGTTTTGTATGACCATGTGGAAAACATACTCTTGCAAAGCATTGTATCTTAACTGCAAATGCTGTGGATTCATCTGTTTACCTGCAGAAAATAAATGTTATCCCCGGTTGAAGACAGCTTCCTCAGTTCATCCTCTCTCCTCTTCAGACTTCCAATCTCCTTCTGAAGGCGATCAGTGAGTGTGTCCATTTGACCAGTGGCGGCCTTTTCCTGATGTATGATTAACTCCTTCACAGCCGAACGTCTTTTGTTTGCCATTGCGATAATTTCATTATAAATCTTCTCATTTTGATCAAGCGCTGCATCTCTGGAAACCTAAGGGCAGTAACCACAACAAAAAAAACCTTGATCTACTTTACTATTACTTTACTGGAAATATGCTTCATAAATGATTAATTTAGCCAACAGAAACAAAGAA